TCTGCCGTGATGTAGACGACGTTTGTGACGTTCGAAAATAGCCGTTGCCCATCGTGCCGCCATAGCAGAGACTGTGACTCTGTCCGGATCCTATTTTGACGTGCAAAATGTGTCGGACAGTGTGTCAATAAATAAAAAGGCCGCTCCAATATTTCTGTGTGGGTTTGTGGCTTCGGCTACTGCAAATAGAAGATAAGTTGCCTGACATTTAATTAACTTTGAATTTGTCAAAGTTTGTGCCATTAATTAAGGCAGTGGTGTTTAAATATAAACATGCGTAAGGGTCTTATTTCACAGCTAAAGAGTGGTTAAGTGCGGCACTTGTCCTAAGCAGCGGCCCACTTAAGACGTCCACCTAAGCACTTAGAGACATCAAACTAAGAGCATAATTGTGCATCTTTTGAACGGCTGCTGTCGGCACTAAAAAATGTTAAAAATGTCGCATCATTCTGCTTAAGGTCGCTTCTCATGTAAAGAGCTTAAAAAGTTTACTTAAGCTCAGGCTGTTCGCTTGATTTTACTTAAGTTGTAAACATGGCATCGTAAGGTGGCTCGCAATTGGCCTAGGGACTGCTTTTTGGCAATCAGTGCAAATGTTGCCAGTTGTATAATTTCCGTTCTTCAACAGCACTCGACCCGAAAATCAAAATTCTGACCATGCGCTCAAATGAACCGTCTGCGCGTCTTTTAAGTATTGGTCAGATGGTGAAATACTTTTCAAGAAACTAGACTAAACATTTCAATTGAAGTTCGACACATGAAAACACAGCACTAGTCACGTTTTCGCAGAATGGAAGAATGGGAACATGATTAATTTACAAGAAAAATATTCACATATTTAACGTATAGTGGAAATAGAAAAATGTTATAACTCAATTAAATTATAACTTTTTGGATATTGGAAACCGAGCAGCAAAATATTAGGGTTTTTACTATAGATAAGACGCTAAAGGGCATTTAAAGAAAGGATATTTCGTTAAAACACAAATCAATTACATAAACACAATTTTAGATTCCATGAAAAGATAATAACTTCCCATTTTCATAATTAGTATATATGTAATATTTAAAACATAAAACAAGTTCAAATCCATAAATTGTCAATTGCTTGCGCCCCATAATGTGCATGTATTATAAATATTTGCATAACTGTTTAAAACTCACACTTTCCCAGTACTATGTACAGTTAAAATGTAGTATGTTCTGAAATCGTGGTACATATTTAGTGAATTACTTAAATAATTATTTTATTATTCAGACTTGAATATAAAATACATTGAAAAGGATTGCCATCAACTTGTATTTTTAAATTTCATCTAAACAGTCAACCCATGTTACCCATGTAACATAAACTTATTACTCATTTTTACATATGTTTGAGTTGCTAATTTTCACATAAATTGAAAACATCCCTAAAAGATACGATATACATATATAAATATTAAAATAAATTCTAACTTGTAACTGAACACTGAGTGGACGGTAGAAATAAAAAAATAGTTGATTTAGAAAAAGTCCTCATGTGTAATTCCCTAAATTTCAAGCATTTTTTCGACAGCTAATTTCTTTAAAGTGTTGCTTTCATGTCTGGACGGAACTTTAGTGTGTTGCTTTATTTATCTACCATCCTGCCTGCCTTAGTATATATGCTATGAAGCCGACAAGTTTGCTCAACCATGACTCAGTGTAATAAGTGCAAAAAGTGTTGCCTACTTTTGCGGGTCGACTGCACACAGTTGTGGAGTTTTTGGCCTTTGTTACGCTTTTGTTTGCTAGCCTACTGCTGTTGATGCTGCTACTGCTGCTGTTGCTAGTTTATTGTGCAAACTCCGCAGCTGCTTTGGCGTTTTGTGGCGCAAACAGAGAAATGAGCTCAAGGTAACTGGTGAATGCGCCCAGCTCGCACAGACAAACTCGAGCAAAAAGCTAACCCAACTAAAATATTAAAAGTCTAAGCACAATGAAACACACAATGATGGGCGTGCATAGATTTACAAGGTTGTTGATTTCAAACAGCAGCTGCCGTTGCAGCTTCTCGTTCAGTTTCTCACACAAAACTGAAGCGCGGTGGTGTTTTGACACTCAGTGGCGTTGCTGACGTCACCCCATTGGTGTTGGCGGAGGTCCCCGCGCGTTCTTCATTAATTAAGCTGCATCGCATTTCATGCCACTTTCAAAGTTTATCTTTGCCTCGTTTCAAAGCTAAACTAGCAGCTAAAGTTTGCTGAAACTTTTCACGCGCCACTCTTTTTGGATGGCATGCGATGCTTTTTTAATTGCCGTGCTTAGGCGCATTCAAAATGTATGCAAATTTTATTTGAATATGATGTGTTTTTTTATAATTTTAACTTGTTTAACATACATTGAAGCATAAAATATTTATTGTGACTGGCGTAGCGTAAAATGTTTCAAATCATGTGGTTGAGCGCCTAATGCGTGCTCATTTTATGAATTTATTGCAACGGTAATCATAAATAAACAATCTGTGTCGAAAACGGCTATAAAACATATGACAGGCAATTCCATTAATATTTTACGAGCCCAAAGGATTATGAAGTATGGAAGCTGGGTCGTTACTTTTTATGCTGTTGCGCTTTTGCCTCAGGGAGTTCTGCTTCTTAAAGTTATTGTTGCACTTCCATTGTCTTTAGTTCAATTAGAATTAAAGCCTCCAAGCTCTTTGAATATTACGTCACTCACAAAGCAGCCATATTAATTAAAGAATGCAAATAGTTTTAAATTGGATTAAGCCAGGCTAAAGAAATTAAACGAACATTCAGCGAGGGCAGTCAAATGAGTCAGCGTTGAATAAATATAAAGTCTGTGTGTTTAAAAATATTGGGCTGGCAATTATCTTCACTGTTTAACTCATTAATTATATTATTATTTTTATAAGCTCGAATTGTTCATGTGTATTATTTTTAAATAGTTATTATCGAAGTTTTTAAAATATCAACAATCCTGTTATGAACAAAATTGAAAGACCAGTAAATTATAATTATTGGAAACATATTTAAGCATTGAACAATGTCCCCAAAATTGAACTTGAATTACTATCTTTATTAAAGCGGCGTGGCCTAGAGATTAGGATTCAATTGTATTTCATCAGACTATAAAATAAAAAGTTTTTTAAGCGATTGATATTGATTTTCTGATAAATTATAACTTATGGGATTGCAGATGCATTCAAATATCACATGCCCCGATACACCATATGAGTGCTGTACAATTATTTTGAAACAATTGAAACTACTACTTGTATTTACTTGTATTTTCCCTGCTCTACTCTTTTGTTTGCTCTTCTCGTTTTGTTATCTCTGCATTGTTGCCCTTCGAAGATTGCAGAATGCTTTGTTTAATTTAACATCGCAGTCTGAAGATTTTCGCTAAGTTGAACATGTAAACACAATCAAAAGCGTAAAGGACCTCTTCAGCATGTTTTACTTGCTAAGTAACAACACGTTTTTAGAGCAGAAACAACAATGCATCTCGACATTGCCATTGCATTGCGAATGTTCATTTTGCATTTCACATGTTTATGAGTTTCTCTAGTGAGACAAGCCAGCAAACACACATTTGCATGCATAGGCAGAAACAGTGTAAAATGTAACTATCCACTGTTCTATCCAAAAAAAAGCAAAATTTTAGTTTAGCAATGGGACAAGTAAGGGGGAAAAAAATGCGAAGCAGCGAACAAAATAAAAACCTAATGATGTGCTCAGACAGGCGATTAATCTGAACATATTCAGCATATGTTGCAAATAAGCCGTAATATGTTTTCAAATGAGAGGGAGAAAAGCGTTAGCCTGAGGGGTTAAGTGATATATACTTGTATATAAGGGTTAATACATTTTTGATAAAAAAGGTTACTACAATACATTTAAGAAGATAGGTATAACACTCAAAAGCCTTGTTAACTCTAAGGAGACTGCTTCTAAATAGGAACTTGATTCCTTAAAACAATGTGCTTACTAGCGTTGCGTTATTTGGAAATTTAAAAATAACAATTCAGTTGATTAATTGGGATACACATCCTTCCTTCATCTAACATATTTGTCTATTTAAAAAATTGCAATCATTATGTGCTTTTTCATCACAAATTTTGGCAATAACATCAGCACCGAAGTAACTGATTTATGAGAATTAAATTGGCAAAACTAACGATTAAATGTGCTCGAAATTATGTCTAAGAACAATTTTTTTTCTATTTTATTATTTTGCATGAGATTCCTAACCACATCTAACCCAATACTGCCCTCGCATACCACTTACAATGTAATCATATTTTTACCATTTGTGTCATTTACAAAATTGTCATAAAATTCTGTTTTTCCATCTTCGTCAACGCTTCTTTTTGTTTCTTTTATTGTGTGCGTGTCATTTCCGGTTTGATAAAATTATGAAAATGCGCTGAATAAAATATATGTTGTCACCGAAATGTGCAGCGATGGCTGCCCAGGCTGGCGCTTCGTGGTGCGTGCCTCATCAAAATTTGTATTTTTTCTGTGTGTGTTTTTTTTTTGTCAACACATTTCACATTTTTTTATGTTTCTGCCACGCCGTGGCGTTAACTGCACGTGCCCGTCCATTTTTTAACTGCCACTGCCAACGACTTCCCCCACTTCTAGCCCTTCTCTGCCCCTTCTTTGTCGTCTGCTTCGGCTCCTTTTTTCATTCATTATCTAGCGAGCTCTTTGTTACTCATTCGTGTTATTTTCGTGACTGGGCGCAGTCTATGCAGGCCAAAAATATATATATATATATAGCTATATATGCTTATCTACATATATATACAGACGATATGTGGCATCCACACGCCTCCCACTGCATTTTCATCAACTGCCAAGCTTGAAGACACGCCCGCATTTTCTTTTCCTGCTAACAACCTGCTCTTATTTTAATACAAAATTTTAATTTCTTTTATGTACTCTTTGGCCACGATTTTTCGTTCCCTTTTCTTTTCTTTTATTTTTATTTTTTCATCACTTTGGCCGCCGCAGTTGATGATTTGTCGCGCCTCACTCTGGACGCCTTGAGGGCGCGTCTGCGTTCCCGTGGCCTCAGCGCAACGGGCAGAAAACAAATTTTAATCGAACGCTTGATTAACTTGGAAAACTGTTCAGATACAAAATCAACAAGCACAACAATAACCACAACAACAACAACAACAGCAACACAAGCAAAATGCGACGGCAAAGAATTCCCAACAGGTTCCAATTTGTCGCAGGCGTGCCCTTGGGAGAAGCCACCAAGAGCTGACGAGTTGCCAACCATGGCGACGATAGCAACAACAACACCAACAGACGACTCGGAGGCTCAGCAACAGCCCGTGAATCATTTTGCCAACGCAATTGCTTCCGGCGCTGGCGACGAGAGTACCGATAATTCTATTTCTGCTGCCACCTCCTCTGTGCGCCATGGTAGGTAGATGTGTGAGGGAGGGAGGCAGGTAGGAGTGGTGGGGCAGCTGGGAATCAGTTCTAGTCTGCCACACTGCACTTGCACCTGCAACTAAACTGTGCAACAAAACGAAAGACAAGAAACTAAGAGAAAGTACTTTAATCAAGCCAACGGCTTAAAATGAGAATTACAATTTTTAATTAAGAATACTAGAAACATTAAGTCTCTCCCTTGGCAGCTCTCAAGCTCTCTATACCTTTTTGAGGACTTGGACGTTTTTCTGGGCGTTTTTCCGTGACATTGGATTATAATTTCCTCGTGGATTTTCTGCTATAGAGTGCATAACACGAACTGAAAATGCGAATTATAATGGACTTTATTAAGTTCTGTATTGTTCTGCAATTATAAATTATTCATAATTAAAAAACGGTGATTTGCATAGCAAAAACGAAATTGACTGTGGACTTGAAAAAAACAACATAAAACAGATTATTTTTCTACAAGTACAACATAAACTAAACTAAAATTTTATAATTTTTATAATTTAACAGAATATATATTTAGAGCAAACCTTTATATTTTGAATGTGAACCTCTACCAATGGATTTTTAAATTTGGGCAATCATAATTAAACCCCATTTTTATCAGTGAATGTATTTCGAATATTATTCCGGCATCCCCCGATATTCGACAACATAATTTTAAAGATTCTCAATGTAAGACAGATTTTGAAATAAGCTGAAATTTCCATCGGCTTGCAAATAATTTGTTTATATGAAATACAAATTAACAGTTTCGCTGACAAAGATTTAAGAAATTTGAGGAAAAGTACATAGTATATAATTCGATATAGTATTTATAGATTTTATAGAAGAAAGGTTTTGTTTATAGAAAAGAAGGTTTTGTTAAAAGAAATCGGCAATGCTGCTTAAAAGCTTCGTATTCGTAGCATAATTGTTGTTCAAAGAAGAAGTATAAGAAGAATTTCAAGCTCAGTGCCATCAGGGCTCGAAAAAAAAAATAAAACCAATTTTGATAAATAATTGAATACTTTGAACACTTTTTGGTAAACTTTGGGGCCGTCAGATAAAGAAACGTTTATCAAATGATTTAACAAAGGGTTGCAAAACAATCTTAATTAAATTCTTGAGTTTTTTTTTTAGCTTCAGTCAAAAAAAAAAGAATACTGTAAAAGTGTATAGCCCTCTATAATTAAATAAAGTACTGCCTGCTCGGAAAACCAATTGTCAATAATGGTGCTGGATAGTGCTATCTACAATATGTCCCTGTAGTGGCCAGATTTTTCCGACCAACCGAACAGACTGTGTGATCAGCATAAATACAGAGAATAGCAATTTCAACCAGCATCTGTCGTAGTTTTTGGTGTTTCTGTAGTCACATTAACGATGATTGGTGGTTACTGCTGCAAATCTGCATACCGCTTAGCCAAAAATATTACCTGCCATTGCTCATGGGACTTGAACTTACCGCACGTTGAGTGCACGAATTCGTTTTTCACAGGTTTCCTTTTAAATTTTTGCAAACTTTGGTTTTTGTTCGGAATGTCATTAATTGAATTAAATTTTTACCATAAATTTGTATATTTAAATTTGATTTACTAGTTAAGCCAACACACACACATCACACACACACACACACACACATTCATAGCCAACATTAAAGGTGAGAGGAGGAGTAGAATTTAAAGCAGCTGGCAACACGCGACTTTCGATGGGGGAAAAAAATAATTTTCTGTACAAATTAAATAACGAAATGTGGCCTGTGGAATTTTTTAATAAAACCAAAGGACACTTGTACCTGCATACCATAATGTGTAGTATATATGTGCTACACGCTTATGTATCGCGCTTCTCTGCAGTTATGTGCACTACAGAGGCTCGAATGCTTCAAGCAGCCCTGAAGTATGCTACAGATTATGAATAAAATTTTCCTGTTATTTGTATGCACTGCATCGATGACTGAACCAGACAACAACTTTGAACAACTTACGACTTTTTCGAACTATTGATTTTTATTAAAACTCGGCTATGGAAAGGGGTGCGGCTTACATGAGCTGAAAAAGTTGACTGATAAAACTTGCTATGCACGTAAGGCACATATTTAAATTTGTGCGCTTTAGCTTATTTAAAAAATTAATAATAATTAAATCAAATTTCAAGCCCATCCATACCTGACCTTTTTTCTTCAATTTGTTTGCCTCGTAAAACATAAATATGCGGCTGCGAACATTGAAATCTAAATTCTTGTTTTTCTTAAAAAAATACTGTTCTTAAAAAAATTATATTTTGATAAATAAATTACATTGAAAAAAATTAAATACAATTGAAAATTAATAAACATAATAGTAGTTTAAGCGAGGAGTCTTTAATGAAATAGATCAACGCCTAGAAATCTCTAAGTAAAAGATGCACCTAAGAAATTGCAATTATTTTTGCGCTTTTTATTCGCAGCCTAGAATATAAATAGGTTTTAATTGAAGGTTAGGACACTACTCTCGGCCCACACGATTGGCTATTGCTTACCGTCAGTTCTGTATCTGTAGCTTTAGTCACTCATTGTTATTATTCACGCCCCACCATTCTTATCGGAAACGGTGTAGCTTTTACTGCAAAGTCAGTAGCAACAACAGTTTTCAGTAATTTGTAAGAACAAACTTTAAGTAAATCTTCACTTCATAACAATTTTGATATCAACTTTTCCTCTACCCTACCAGAAATTTGTAAAGTGCAGCAAAGTTTCTAGCGGGCTTATAGTATTACCTTCAGGTTCCTTTTTGCAATTTCCTCTTATGAACTTTTATTTAATAGCGTGAGGTTGTAAATTTATATAAAAAAGTTAATTGCAAGCACTCGCTAACAGGGAACTGCACACACAGACACACACACACCCATACCTTGACATACCAGGCACAGGTATCAAAACAGGCGCTGCGACAACAATAGCCACAGCAACAGCCAGTGCGGCAGCTGTGACAACAAAAACAAAACACCAGCAACAGCAACAACACCAGAAACAACAACAGCCCCCACTACGAGTATAGCCGTCAACTGCTATAAATTGTAGGCTGATTGCCGCTTGCATTTCCGCTACCACCGGCACGGACTACGGTTCGCTGATTCGGAGCATCGCAGGAATAGGGGAAGGATTGGAGGCAACTAGGTTGGCACACTTTGCTCCCATTTTGTTTTGGAAGCGATGCCATGCCTATGACGTACGTGTGATTGTGGCTAGTAATGTGGCGGTGACTGTAGTTACAGCTAGGAGTGTAGGGGGTCTGTGTGTGTGTACTTTTGACACTTGTTATCCCTGCGGTTCTGTATCTGTGTGTGTGTGTGTGTGTGTGTGTCTTTGTCGGAACTGCCTATTAAGTTTTGATGAAACAAATGCTCTGTCGAGTTGTGGCCCTATCCTGTCCACAATCCCATTCCTGCCCAAGTGAGAAGCGGCTGAATCAATGTTTTCAACCCAATTTGTTTGTTGTTGCTATTGCTGTTGCATCTACTATTGCTTTATGCGGTTTTGATGGGTGTCGAAAACTTGCGTATGCAGCCCCAACAAGCAAAACAACATCAACAACATGGGAAACAACTTTTGTTACTATCCAAATCAGTGTGCAAACAAACTTTGTTTCTGCATATTTTATAACATACCATACATACATATACATGCTTGTGTATGTGTGGGTTGAGACAGCAACCAAATGAGCGAAATTATCGTGCTTCACTTCAAAAACTTAATTTCTCATATTGCCAACTCACTAGAACATGCATTATACGCTTGGAGTTTGGTAGAGGTGGCAGGTAATAAAATCTTCAAAGTTTCAAGATATATTCAATTATTAATTTCCAGGCAGGTGATATTTAAGCCTAACACGTTGTGCGTAGCCCAGGCGTGGCAGAAGCAGAATATCAATTTTATGCACATGTCAAGTATCTTTTTAATAAATAGGAACTATTTGGCATTTATAAAAAAGATTTATATAGTTAGTTAAATTATAATTAGAACTGGAGACCGTTTTTCAGCTTATACCTTTTTTGTATCACATAACTCATTAAGACAATTGATTTACATGAAAATATTGAACTCATAATAAGTCGATCAATTTTTGCTTTTAAAAATATATATAGGCCCTTTTCAGGTTAGCTTGAAAATAACACATAGCTTCAATATACTTTAACAATTATCAAATACTTGAGTAATTGTGAGTCTCAATTCATGTCAGATTTGTCGTGCCAATAAGAGGTTTTTCATTATTTTTCATTGTTGAACTCACAGTTCTCAAGCTATTTTGTTGCTAGCAGCTATTACTATATATTGAAACTATTTAATTAGATGAACTACGAGTATATGTATCGAGATAAAGAGCGTTTAAAAATTGTAAAATGTATTCGCTGAAGCCATTGGAAGCAACTAGACGTACGGTCATTTATTTTCTGCAGATGCTTTTGGTATATTTCAACATATTACAGAAGACAATACAACCGAACTTATCTAATCAGATCTCGCCACAAAATGTTCGATATGAATAGCTCTCAACACACAGCGACATTTATAATAATGATCATATGTGATATTTTAAATGTAATTAAAAAACACATGCATATAAAAATCAAATTGTTTATAGGATCGTTCACTGAGTCTGTTGCAGAGATTAACTTTTTAGCATATCTTTTTTTTTATACAGAAAAATGTTTTCCTCACAAAACTATTTATTTTGATATGTACATATATTGCATTAATATTATTGGCTTAAATTTCGAATGTCATCTCGTTTCTAGTTTTACAATTCTTTTTTTTTATTTGTTTATATCGACACACAATTGGAATTTGTTATGAAATGTTTTTCATTATCAATTGGAAACACAATAGCTTGGTATTGGAATTTGGAATTGTCGACTGTGTATCGAATTTCTCGATATGTTCAATATCCAACTATGTATGATTAGAATTCAGCTTCGTTTTATGGTTATAAGAGCATGTGCTGCAAATTTACAAACAAACTCGTGCAATATTCTGCAAAACCGTTTGTCCATGTGAAGTTTATTTTATATGCACACACACACAAATAAATGACAGTTCTGAAAATTCCTAAATGAGTTGTGTGAAGTGGCTTTGAAAAAAGAATTTCGTTTAGAATGCAAACACGAAACAGTATTTGTGTCAGACATACATTCTATTTGAACACACAATCACACAAATATATATGTATGAGTATATTCTATGGCTTGGCGTTTTTGCATATGAATTTCAAAAATATATTTGCCACGTACACACGAATAGTAACCAACACTATCGCCGCATCAATAAAATAATAATTACAACAAAAACAACAACAACTACTAGTACGAGGCACTGTGCACACGTCTGTAAGCGCGAAAATCAGAAAGTTAACTGAAAATTAACTTGTGGGGAGGAAAAAAAGATCTGAAACTATCAATAAAAACGCCACAAAGCCGCAGAAGGTAGAAGCGAAAAAAGAAAACATAAACTACAATATATACTCGCTCCTACATACATACATACATATAAAAAATGTTTAAAATCCCAAAAAATCAAAGTGCATGAAAATAATAATCACAACAAGCAGCGGTGGCGACTGCTAACGAGCGTCGGTGGTGCTGTTGTGCTGTGGTGTGTAGTGTGGTGTGGTGTTGTGTGGTGTGGTGTTGTGGTGCTGATGGAGGCGTTGTCGGCGTCTAAGCGGCGACGGCGGCCACTTCGATAGTCGCGCTTGCGCAGCTTGAGCAACAACAACAACAGCACAGCACCACTACTTACCCACATTTGGCGCCGCCAATGGGTTGAACAGACCTCTTTGGCAAGCGAATATGTGGCTAAGATTTACTTCGATTCGTACTTACACTGCAAGAAAATTGACCATCGCTTCGCACCTGGTTTTCATTTTGGAACAACCTATTTACCGTTTTAGGCCATACTAGATATTGTGGAAATAAAAAGCTTTATCTCGCTCGCCTCTACAGAACGCGCCAATTTTAATCTACGGTTTTTGAAGCTTGTGCTAAAGCTAAAGCTATCGCTCGATTGTTATCAAAGAACTTGTTTTGCATATATTAGGACTTAAAGTATTATGATTCCATAACCTTGGTGAGCCATTTATCTACTGTTAGAGATAAATTCTAAAACTGAAAACGACTTAAGAGAAAAATATAATTCAATTAAATCACAAATGGTTTTTCTCTATTCGTGAATTTTCATACATAGGCCAACTAACTAATTAGCTAAGTAGCTACTTAGAAAAGATAAAGTACAATTGTATTTATTTATTTACATTATTTGAACTTAAAGCTAAGGCCCACAAGCTGCTTGGAATATATTCTCGCCTATATCTCGCCTATACATATATTTAATTCAGAGATAAGTTTAACAAGTGCTTTTATTTTTAAAGTGTTGGCCTCTGCGAGGAGTTGGTTGGGAGCGCGAATTTTTGTGGGGGTGCATTGTTTTATAAAATGTTTAACTGCTAGGGTAGATCTATTTCAGAATGGGCAAAGCGTTTTATTGAGTAGATATTCGTGTGTAAGTTTTGTGTGTCCTATTCTGAATCTTCTGTAGGCAACTGCATGTTTTCTGTTTATTGTGATTGTAATATTTATTGGCTCTCTTCATGGGTTAATTGTAGTGAGTGTACACAAATGGAAATACAAATAGTAACAAGTATAGTTTATGGGAACCAGTGAGGGTATTTGCTAGTTGAATATAATTTAAAAATAATATCCCCTTAGAACTTTTTCTCTTCAATGTAGTCAGTCTAGCAATAGTCTAGCAATAGCAGTTGAACTGATTTAGTGATTATTTTGTTCTCTGTATAGAAATTGGCTGCTGCTTGTTGTTGGCGTGTTGCCGCATTTGTTGCATGCAATTAATAGACTGTTATGTTCAGAGGATGTAGGTGTGTCTGTGTGTGTGTGTGTGTATGCGTGCGCCACTTCATGGCTGCATTAATCACACATGCGACAAGAAACATACCGCATAAAGTGAAAATTAACTGTTGACCGATTTCCAAGCAGCGCCCCAGAGATGACGAAGACGACGAACCTACTATATATACATTGTATACTATATATGTATTTTAATTGAATCGCTGTGCTTTTTGCTGTTGCACTACAAATATTCTGTCATCTGACAAGCCAATATCGAGCACAGACACAAACATACATATATACACACTATATGTACATAGTATGTACGATAAACACAGCGCCCAGGCTGAAACGAATTTTCACGCCTCGCAGCGCAATTGGTGCGCCTAACTGCGTCTTTGGCTTAGCCAAGCAATAACCTTGAGTTGTTGCACATAGATACTCGTACATACATACATATGGTATCTCTACTCGTATGTGCTTTTAAGTAAATAATAAATAAAAGAAAACTGCAATAAAGTAGCACAAATCGGAATCGTTGAATTTGTTAGCCCAGGTCCCATACAACATGGACAACTAATGAGTGCCTCATTCTCTGTCTTGCCTCCACTCAGGTGATATCTATGTGGAATATGTGAATGGTATGCCACACTTGACTGTGCGCCTGCCCAGCCGCAATGAGATGTGCCAGTTCGCCCTTAAGCCCATCACGCACAACGTCGGGGATCTGCTGGACATGCTGAAGATGGAGGATCGTGGCATAGATCGGGCGGCAATCATCAACAAGCACGGCATACGCATTGCCTCCTCTTGCACCATCGACAGCTTGCTGGATGATAAGTTTAGGTGAGTCGTCTGCAGTCAGCTTGCTCTGGTCAGACAGGCAAATAATCTCACATCACAACTAACTTAATGACATAAATGTTACTACTTGTTTCTCTACAACAAAAGGCACCTTTAACATGCGAATTTTCTTAGTTTGCATGCAAATTATTTGCCTCTTTGACCATACATTTTAAAATGCGAAATAAATCTGTCTCCCTCCTACATATATAATAAATAATCCAACTCTCCAGCATACAAATTAATGACCGCACACTGGAAGTAGATCCACCGCAGCGCGATAAAATCTCGCTAGAGGCCATGGATAAGGTGGACGATGTGCGTCGCGTCATTGCACAGGTGAGTGTGTGGCGCAGAGGAGCCCTTCAAAACTATCTAAAATCTTGCGCTGATTCTGCAGCTATACGAAGCCTTTAATGTCAGCGAGTATCAGCTGGAAAAGGCCAATCAGCTGGCTAAGGAACTGGAAAACCTACGTTATGAATTGGAGCCGATGGAAGAGGTGAGTGAATTGCTTACAACTTCATCAAATCGCATACCAGATCATTGCAAATGTACATAAAATTGAAAAGTTTAGCATGAGGAGGCGAGTCGAGTTCGTCTGTCCGTATTAACATCTAGAAGTATCCGACAAACTAGTGAGAAGAAAGTTGGCTTTTAGACGAAACTAAGCTACATTTTACGACTAAATTTAAATTAGAGCCTTCGTCAGCCACTTATTTTAAAACCCCTTAACCAAAGCCATATCAAGCACTAGTTGCGGATTTATTCATAATATTTATTACGATTTAAATAACGAAAAACATTTCACCGAAGCCTTTTTAAGAATTGTGGTGATATTTTTAAGAGCGCAGCATCCTCCACATGTTTATACGAAGCATTTAAAGAAATCTGTTTTACGTTTCACGTTAGCTAAGTTAATTTTCTCTTTTTAATTAAATATGTGTGTCCTTTCAATTGGTGCATGAGGAGAGAGGAGGCTAAACTTCATTTGGAAAAATATATAGCTCTGCCCCCCTCTGTTAAGGGGAAGCCCCAACTTTCTCACTAACTAGAAACAAATTGATGAAATTTAAATGGTATTTACTTACAAAATTTAGCTCAGAATTGGATATATATGTCTTTGGTTTAAAAAAGAGGAAGTTTAATAGTCAGAATATGAAAACAAATTAGCTCTTATTTTGAAAGATTAAATTCTGAGAAAAAAACTGCACAAATCTACATAAATTAAGACAGCCAGATAGGATTTCTAATCAGAATTCCTTAACTTCTCGCTGGCGCAGAAAAAAATGGAACTGAGCAGACAGGCGTCCCGTCGCACCAATATTATGACCTGGTTGGGTCTCGGCCTCATGTCCGTGCAATTCGGCATACTGGCGCGCCTCACCTGGTGGGAGTACTCGTGGGATATTATGGAACCGGTTACCTATTTTGTTACCTACGGCACGACAATGGCCATGTACGCCTACTATTGTGTGACGAAGCGGGTAAATGAGCAAAGCTCCCCAATTTCATGAAACACATTGAATGATTTGGCACCTCTCTGTTTTGCAGGAATATGTAATGGAGCATGTGAAGAATCGGGAATATATCCTGACCATGTATAAAAGTGCCAAGAAGGTGAATTTCGACTTGGATCACTACAATCTGTTGAAGCGCAAGACGGCGGAGATCGAATACAACCTGAGGCGTCTGCAGGATCCGCTCAACATGCAACTGCCCTCGCACTTAGTGCGCACACAATCGGAGTTGCCCCCGCTGGGGTACAGCAGCGCGAGCGACGCGAAGAGTAAAGAGAAAAGTACTTAAGCCTCCCGAAGGACGTCATAGCTAGAAGGCTATGGGAATCAGATGTAGCCACCACCTATGCGAATGAAACTCAAATTTAATTTATAACGCTCGCTCTCCATCACTTAGCTAATTAAAACAAAAACAAAAGAATTTGTGAAAGTGATTCAAATTATAGTCAACTATTGAAAGTTATATATACATCTATATATATACATCTAAGACTTGTTCTACTTATGTTCTCTATGAAGCTCCAAAGCGCGCTTCAAAATGTTAGTGTGTGTTTTGATTTGTTTAATTGTTCTGTTTTGTAGTAAGTGGACGACTCTGTATATCCAGTTTATGTTTATTTATTTGTAATTGCGAGTAGCATGGCACTACTTCGCCGCACTACTCAACACGCACAATGCCGAGCCCTCGGTAGTTCCGTAAACAAACAAACAAGCAACAACAAACTACGTAGGAAGTAAGCAACATTTTTGTTTATTTTATAAATTATTTATTATGACAATCTCCTACCAGATGTTTTTGTGCAAATTCTAGTGAAATACAAGTATGCAATGAATTATTTATTTACTGATTTCGGTTCGTTCATTTATGTAGTTGTTTTCATTTTTTGGGACACAGGTTCAATGCAAATTTTGTCACATCTCAGGCAATTTACAGCTCTTGATGACCATTATACTACTATATTATATTGATGACAATGGGGATCCGAATCACACACACACACACACATGCAACCAACTTCCTAAGCTTTAAAATAATCATAACAACTACAACAACTTACTAACTAATAAATATGAGAACTAAACCTAGACTAGATGAACAAATTGTACATAGACAACGCACCAACTATTTCATAAAGTTTTTAATAGAGAGGAAAAAGAAAGAGGGAAGGAAATCCATTTAATAAACACGTAGATAGTAATGTTTATAAAATCCTAATATTAGCATACGATTAGTGAGAAGAAATGCGTTGCCATTGCAGGTGACGCTTTAAAATTGATCAAGCCACTAATTTATAATTAGAAAGTGTAAATATGATTACAAAAAACTGCTGTGTTTCATGACAACGTAAATCGAGTATTGTAATTGTAATATGTACTTATAGTATGTTTGTACGAGTATGTATTACAAGATCGGCTGATTGTCCCCAATTGGCTTTTAAATATTAGTTGGGAATGGGAGCCGCACTGTAGTCGAATAAGCCACAAAACTTAGCCACAACTCATACCTTTTACGCTTTCTTCGAACTAAAAAAAAAAACGGAAAAGAAAACTAAAAAGCTTTACTATATTCATAACTAAATTTAGAATTCCAATATGGTTGTGTTGAGACAAATGCGAAGGCATCTTTCTGTCTGTACTCTTAGGTACTTAAACCAAATCAATCACATTCGATCACACACTTTTGCGACAGCCAGCCACACACATTTGCACATTATTAGCCACAAACTTAACAAATGCTTGCTTAACACACTAAACACAAATACTAGTATAAGCCTACTACTACTTACATACTAAAATATTAATTCAACATTTGTGATTAAATTTTAAATTATACAAATGAACATTGTTTTTGTACAAATTAAATTAAACAAAAAAAAAAAAAAAAAAAAAAAAGAAAAAGAAATCAAACCAAAGCCCTTAGCCTCAAACCTTAATAACTTTCAAAGTATTTACAAAACAAAATCAAATCCTAAACATTATTTATTATTAATTACTTCCTAAAAGTATTCCAAAATAATTAAATTGTACTCAGCGCCAAAGACTTACCAGAAAATCAACGTTACAATCCAGCGTTACAAACTACTACTACTACGAACAAAACAAAATTGGGAACGTTACGCCCTGCCTTTTTTTAAAAAGAAATATATTATAAAAGTAAGCCTCCCACAATGGATGTGTTAAAGTATTTATAAATTCAACCAATTGTTATTGCCTCCTAATGATTAACTGATCCCCTAAAGCGGATTATTCTTAAGCTAAATCTCAAGTACCTTTTATTTCGAAATACAAAACAAGAATAATTCTTAACTAATTTATAGAATATATCTACTCACATACATATAACAACACATCTTAAAAATCTTTTTAACGAATTTAACATATAAACAAATTTAAACAAATATATACATACATATATATTTTAAGTGCTTGAAGTATTAAAAATTGTTTGAATTTTTACTAAAAAGCGTGCAATTTTTTACATTTATAAAACATGAAAATTTGTTTGTTAAACATATAATACGAAATTCCAAAAAAAAAAACCCCAAGTATGCTTACGAAGTACGAAAAAATAATGGATTATGAATAAATCATAAAATAAACTCAGTAATATAGAAAACTGACTAAAAGAATAGTTACGTGAAAAGGACTTAATAAAACAGACGATGGTTGCAGTTTTATCTCGTATTTATTTTCTACTAAAACGTACAAAGGAAAATCACGAGCACATCACACGTTCCTCCTCAGGCACATCGGATCTCCAGCCTAAAGCAACGACTTGAGTCGGTGGCATTCCACTTGACCAACTCGGCTATGGGTCGACTCGGCTTTAGGAAGAGCGTAAGCTGGTCGTTCAGCTGCAGAGGCGAGAATTTGCTGACTATCTTTGCCTTGGTGGACTCACGATATTTTCCCACCAGCGTATCGTTGCTGAAGCTGCGACCACGTTGGTCGGCCCATTCGTAAGTTTCCACTGCCTTATTAGCCCCATCGTCTATAAGTCGATAGCTGGGCTGGCGATACGGATTATATCCAAGCTTGGCGCATATCGCACGCACTTCTTTAATGCCAGGCGGTGTACTCTTTGGGAAACATTTTGTGTGCCAAATGCCATAAGATTGCTCAATGACCTGTCCGTATTGGGGAGCCGTTTCCTTGTGTCTGCAAGAGAAATACAAATTCCAATAAATTGAAGTATATATTTCGTCTTTTGAAAACTCACTTGTGCTGGTTGGGCGCCCAGAAGTCCTTCTTTTCCATATCTAACGGATGCTCTATGCCAAAACAGTAACGCTCATCCTCGCCATTTGGGCAATCAGGCTCCTTGTCGCACACAAAGTCGCGTGGAATGCAGTCTTCCGGTGAACTGAACATTTAAATTAATAACTAATTTATAGAAAATCAAAATACAAGTATACTTACGAGCTGCATTGAAAGTGTTCCGAAGTGCAGTTACAAAGCACAGAACTCTCGTCGCTCTTGTCCCAGCAGTTGCGCTTGCCATCACATATTTTAGAGGGATCGGTGGCTCTTTAGATAGGCAAATTAAATGGATAAAATCTGGGAAGAATGGGTTGCTTATAACTTACTGCAAATAGGTAAAACAGCTGCATATTGTGGGCTCGTCAGTCATGTCCGCACAGTCGGGTATATGGTCGCAAAACTTTTCCTTGGGCACACATTTGCGACTGGATCGGCATTTCATCTCGCCAGGAGCGCAGGTTTTTTTCAACGCCCGACACATCTGCTCATCCTCGTCACTGCCATCGTGGCAGTCACTCTTCCCATCGCACAGCGCGGCATGCGACAGACAGAGTCCGAGTGGACAACGATGGGTGTTGCACGATGGAGTGCTTTTCACACTCGCACAGTGCGGTTGGTCTGTAGAGTATGAAGATTTTCACAGCAATTATCAAAATAGCTGCTAAGAAAGAAATATTACCTATAATATGTTGAATTTTCTTGTAGGCCAGCTCCAATGTCCGTATGCCGAATGGCGCTTTGAAACTCTGGCAATCGCTGTTGTTGTAGCTGAAGAGCGCTGTTGGATACCAGCCCGTATGGGGATCGCGACAAACCAGGATACCCTGATCGACGGGTCGTCCTAATGAGTCGTTTGCATTCTTCTGCCCGAATTGTGAGCAGCTGGTAAACTTTGTGAGGGCGGGCAGTTCCGTGGGCGCTATGCCATTGATGAGCTCCACCTCCTCAGATATAGAGGCCATATCCTCGGCACTGACATTGAGCAGACGCATTAAATGGACGGGTGGTTGCTTCTCCTGCAGTTGATAGCAGGATATAGATTCTGTTTTCTGGCATTTCGTGTCATTTGAAGCGGCTGCAATGGCCACAGTTTTGATTCGACCCGTCTGTTCATCATGCAGGACGCTGATGCAGTCGCGTGTTGAATTCTTGCTGGAGCTGGAAAGGACACATTCGTTAGAATTTGTCAATCATGTATTGTTGAGTGCCATTTTAATAGGCGTTGGATTCTCAACGAACTCTTAACTCCTCGAAATATCCTTATCATAACCTATCTAAACATACTTACATATCTGGCAGGAAGGTGGGCAGCACATGGTGTGTGAATCGCGCCGACTCTGCCAGGTGTAGGAGTAGGACATCCGTATCGGGAACTGCCTCATAGCAGTCCACGCGTCGTACTTGCTCGTGTGTACTTCGATGGAGTGTTCGTTTGGTCTTTCCACCGCCCAGCAATACGCTTATATAGTGCTTCTCAAATCTGAAAAGAATTTAAGTGTAAATGGGTATATAGATATCGGAGATTTGTGGGTTCCTCTCACCTCACTCCAATCATGCAGCTCTCATGCACCAGCAGCCAACGCCTGTCCATCAGCACCCCTAGGCACCAGAGGTTCCCATTGGCATACACATCCGCCAGCCAAGGCCAATGTAGCTCTTCGATGGCCTCGTGAAGCTGTTCATTCACCAGCACAGTTTGATTCTTCTTGCTCTTGATCAGCTTGTCCAAACGGTCAAGGATCTCGTCTTTCTTGTTCAGCAGCTGTGCTGGTAGTTGCGGCTTGAAGTGGACATTGGGCGTGTTGTGTGTCTCAATGGTGGGCTGCATAACTGGCAGATTCTGTGCCGTTGAGTGCTTGATGGCCTGTCCAGCGCTGAGTGTCTTTAAGGGCGTAGTCTTGTTCGCCTGAGGATTGCACTCTACATAAATTCCCAAACATTTCTCGCCCTCGATGTGCGCCAGATGCTGTTGCGAGTGCGGATGCAGTGGGAAGAGGTCCTCGTTACTAGTAAATTGCACATTGTCACGCACAAGAGCCCGCAGTTGTGAGCCCAGTCGTGATTTACGTGCCAGCTCTGGGGTAATGGGCATCATCGACCGCTGCGCCACAAACTCGGTGCTGTTGTGGTAGCGGGCGCCCTTGAAGCCGAGCAGTGCGCATACCGCATCGGCTGTGGCAGCTCCATGTGTGTGGAAGCCCGTCTCATGGGCACAGACCACACGCCACTGACCGTGAGCGTTTCGTGAGAAGATGCCGGTGCTGCTAAATTTTGGCTGTTTGTGGGCTTCGAAGTGAATGTCATGGCCATTGGTGAGCGCAACTGTTGGAGAGGATAAAGAGAAGGGAGCAGTGTCAGCCATATATTTGGTTACCGTGTGCTGTCTTACTTACAACAATCCTTTTCGTCCTCCTTGAATCTACAATCGGCGAAATTGTCGCAGCGTTTAGTCAAAGGCAAACATGTTTTGGATAGCGGACAGAGGAACTCGTTCTCTTCGCAAGAGCCTATAATGCAGTTAAGAAAGTAAAAAACTGTAATCAGGTTTAATTGGAAAGCCAGATCTTACCGCATTCCAATTCATCCGTTAGGTCCTCGCAATCAGCCTTGCCATCGCATATTAGCACACTCAAGGAGCCCTTCAAATAGTCACGGCAGCTACAGTCCAATTCATCTGTGCCATCCTCGCAGTCCACTTTTTTGTCGCAGCGATGCTGCAACTCCACAATTTGGGACATTCTGAAAAGGCAAAGGACAACAGTTAGTTAGTTGGTGGGTGGGTGGCTGTGGTGGGAAGTTGTTAGTTCAGTCTCACTTTTGACAAACAAATTTATTGGGCGGCGCGGTCTTGGGCGAAAGTTTCACGCTCTTTGTTGTCGTCTGTTGGCTGTCGTATGATGATGTTACTGCTGTAATCTTGGGTGTTGACGTGGTGATGGGGGTAGATGTGCTGCTGCTTTCTGTTGTTGTGGTCGCTGCGGTTGTTGTTTTTGGGGTTGTGGAAGTTGTTGTTATTGTTGTTGCTGGCACTGTGCTGCTCGAGTTGTTTGGAGCTTCGGTTGTAATTGGCGTTGAAGGCAATGTCGTCGCCTCGGCTTCTTTAGAGGTTCGCGTTGCTTCCTCAAAGACTTGGGTAGCCAAATCGGCCAGCTTCATAAAATCCTCCGTCGAGGTGGGAGGCCATGTGGTTTGTGCGATTGTTGTGGGCCATGTTGTTGGTATTGTGGTTGTTGGTACTGTTGTAGGCAGGGTTGTGAAAGTTTCCGTTGTGGTGGGTAGGCTTGTGGGCTCAGATGTAATAGAGGTACTAAGCTCATTGGTCCAAGTGCTGTCCTCCACGTTGAATTCATCAGTAATTAGGCTGCTGCTGCTGGTGCTTCCATCAATTGTAGTCGTCACCGTAACACTCTCAGCTGCTGAGAAACTATCCAAGTCCGACTCTTGTGTGGTAGCTTCATCCAAGGGTGTGGTACTCTCTTCATCGCCATCGGCCTGCCCATCCTGTTGGTTCTGCTGTTGCTGCTCCGGCTCAGGATGATAATCACTTTCTGTGGTGCTGCTGACATTGTGTTGACTGCCCACCATGTCCGGTATAAAGTTGTAGGTACAGCCTACCTCATCTTCACCGCCCAGACAGTCGACCGCACGATCGCAACGCAATCGTTCGGCTATACAACGTTTGCCACCCCAGACACACAAGAATCCCGGACACATTTGGCGGGGCTGGCGCGACGGCAGCAGATCTTGTGTTGTGGCCATCTCTAGCCAGTCCAAGTAAAGGGCTACGCGGGTATAGACTCCAAATTCTTTGGGACGAGCACAGCCATTACCGTGACTCACAACGCCGGCCAGATACCATTCATCTGAATTTGTGACGCTGCGACAAAAGAGCGGTCCACCCGAATCGCCTTGGCAGGCATCGCGTCCCCCATTTGGATCGCCTGCGCATATATCTTCAGCAGCTTGATCCTCGGGGTCTGTGCAGCGTTTGCGTATTGGCACCGTGACTTGTCGCAAGGATTCGCCTGGATATGACGACAGAGATTATAGCAGAATTCTAATAAGTTTTTTGTTCTCTACTTACTACTCGGACCCTTCTCTCGTATGGCTCCCCAACCAACGACAGTGCATAGCGTGTGCTCCTCAGGTCCCCAAATCCAGTCATCACCAATTGTGGTGCGACCCTTGTCGGGCAGACAAATGGGCTTCACCCAACGATTGAACTGAAGCGGCATTGCCAGACGGAGCAAGGACAGATCATTCCGCATACTGCGTCGCTCATAGGCCTGATGGAAGACTATATGGGAGATGGGCACGATTTGAGTGGCAAGTGAGTAGCTTGTACGTCGCAGGAGTCCTGCGCGCACCTCATAATAGTATTTGGCAAAATTGATGACACAGTGAGCCGCACTAATAATCTGGAATGAAAAGCAACGCTTAGACTGCCATTCCACTTTTCTGCTTCTGACTTACCCAGCGTTCGTTGTAGATGGTGCCACCGCAATGGAACTTGCCATCTCTGTAGATGGCCACCACGAAGGGCCACTGCAGTGCATCTGTGTAGCTGCCACCTACGATGCGACTTGTGCCAACCTCTGGATCCGACTTCTCACTTAGTTCGGCTGCAATGGCCGCTCGACGCGCCCGTTTTGAGTGCAGACTCTGCCTCGGTTTGCTGGGCACGCCACAGACGGCAGGCGCGCACTTCACATAGGCCACTTGATTCACAAGACTATCCTCGCTATTGCGTCCATGACAAGCCTGGGCAAAGTGCATGCCCGAATGCAGGGAGGGCTCGATGAAAGGTCCTGGCAACGTCAAAGGCTGAAATGTGATATTTGGTGCTGCCTTGGAGCTGGACTGAGTGTCCTCGAAGTCGCAGGCAGATGCCGCCCACTTGGCCCCATTATTACAAACAGGATACCATTCGCCGCGATGGTTGCGATAAAGGTATCCTTCCGTCGCAGAAACGGAGTGAGCCTGTGTATACAAATTTTGGCATTATGCCTTACAGTTATTAGAGTTGAAGAAATTAACGACTGATCCATCATCTATTCGTGCTACTGGATTTTGTTTCAACATAATTTAATATTTCTACACAAAACTGCGTTAGGTTTGTACACCCATTAAGTCTGGTAATGTCAAAATGCTAGTCAGTATTTTGTAGTCTTGAGGCCTGTTCTATACCTGGTTACTTAAATGATAAGCCAACTAGATCTTAACTCTGCATCACCAACACTAAATACTAATACTAATTGAAAACATTGAAAATATAAGCTCTATGGAATTTATAGTTATTTACCATGGGATGTGTAACGTCTGTGACCAGCATGCTGCACTCTTGTTCGTCACGTCCATTAAGACAGTTGACAAATCCGTCACAACGTTCCAATTGGCTGTAGCACATGGACAGTGTGGAACGATTGTGTCGCTCATAGTCCTGCGGTCGATCGTAGCAGGAAATCGCGAATTGCTCGCAGCCGAAGCAGCCCAACTCATCCTCACCCATGGGACAATCGGCATAGCCATCACACAGGCGTTCTTCGTCCAAGCGATCGGCACAGGTGCAGGCGGACTCATCACTGCCATCTGAACAGTCGACGACATTGTCGCAGAAACGCTCGGAGCTTATGCACTCCTGGCTGCCGTAGCAGGACACCTGATCGGGCTGCGCACACTTGGGTCGGTCAGCTGGAAGTGTGGGCAGACCCATATACGAGGCATAGATAATCTGGCCCTGGGTCGACGCTGTCTGGTTGGCATGGCGCATCTTGAAGTTGGCATTTGAGAAACCTCCCGGGTTGAGGCCCAGTTGGTTGCCTGTCGCTGGATTGGGCGGCACATTTGGCTGCTGTCCTCGTTGATTCTGCATGTAGGTGCAGTAGACTTGCTGTTGCTGCTGACTGCCCAGTTTTTGAGGGGAGGCATTCTTAGAGAATATATTTGGCATATTATTCTGCGCCGCTGCTGCAGTGCCTCCGCTGGGGCCCGCAAAGAAATTGGCAGTGGTGCCAAATTGATTGGGCACAAAGAATATGCCACCAGGCCCGCCCATTGGCATTGCGCCGCCTCCATTCATGCCACCGAACTGCCCACCCTGCATGCCATAATACGAAGGCGACCACATGGGCATGCGGAAATTGGCAGGCGTCATGTAGAAGCAAACAGGAATGCTGGGCATGCCAAAGTTGGGATTAAACATGAACTGTGCCGAGGCCTTCATTGTTTCGCCGGACACGGGAAACCCGCCTGGTCCCCGGCTAGTGAACTGCACGTTGGGCGAAGATGTAAAGGTTTCCGTTTCCCCTTCTGGCACGGGTGCAACTACTGGGTTGCTTGGATTACTGGCACCACCAGTTTCGCCACTCACACCCATCTTGTTGCGCATTTTCTTGGCCATGCGCTCGCATACTGTCAAAAATTCGGCATCGGCCGCTGTGGAAAATAGGAGTTGAAGATTAATCAAAATCTAGTATAAAAGTATTAATGGAATAAGGAAGATCTTTTGATAATAGACAATACACTATAAAGGCGCAATTTCTCGCAACTGGTCATTACTTTAAATGAGAATAATAAATACATTCGCACTACCAGAAATATTTACTTATTTGTTAGTCAAAAATGTCCCAAAATCAAAATGCTGAAACTACATCAAAAACAAAAGGCTTAATAACAAATTTAAATTCATACCAATTTAGTTACAGGCCCCAATTAAAGATTTGAATGCAAATATTTTTGTCTTATTTTAATTTTTCTTTACTGTTTTTTCTTGTTTTTGGACTTGGAGTTTGTTTTGTGACTTCTTAGGTGTAAAATTACTTTATTAAGTTTTTGTTGAAATAATAAGTATTAAAGAAATGACATCTAAAACCATATATAGAACTCGAAAAACCCAATAGCTTTGAAAATGGCCTTTAAAATATAACTCGAACTGTTTAAAAACTATCTTCTATACGAATATCTTTATTATTGTAACAATATGAAAAAAGGCTAACAATTTGATGAAATTGATAAAATAGCCAAATAAGGATTAATGGTAGAAATACAAGATTTTTTTAACGAAACAGGATCAAAGTAAGTATATAATTTTTTGTTCTGGGACTTTTTAGGCTTTCTTATTGTTGAAGTAAAAATTATAACTTATTTTGAATTCAATTTAATTTATTGTAATATGTATCGACATACCCATATCTGTTGATGTAATCATAAGAAAATAAAATATGCCCACTCTTTTTGCTTACCATTCAATAAATTTATGTTTGCTGGATTTATTTTGGGCCCCATATTGTCCAGACTTTTGGCATCCAGTCCGCTGCCAAACGTATCAATAAGCTCGTCCTGGGTCTGGGCTGGCGCTGCCTGCTGCTTGAACTGTTCCAGCCAGTGCTGGCGATCGTAGACATCGCTGCTAGTTTTCGGCGCAGTTGTAGTCGTTGCGTTGTTTTGAGCCTTTAGGAGAGGCTTCTGGGCCTCATGCCGCTCAAAGCTGTCCAGCATGTTCTCCACACTACTGGGGTTATCCAGTGGATGCACATCCCGCTCTGGACTTTGAGTCGATGAGGCGACGGTGGTCCTGGGTTTGTAGGTGCTGCTAAACTCAGAGCTGCTGCCACCGCTATCGATAATCCAACTGATTTTCAATGGCTTTGGGTTAGTGGGACGGACGGTTGCAGCGCTGGCGGTCGTTGTAAGTGGCATTCTTGTGGTGGTGGTTGTAGAGACGACTGCTTGTGTGGTGCTGTTTTTGGAATCTGTGTCTTCGATTTCGCTGTCAATGATCCAATCGAATTGCAGTTTTCGCGAATGTGTCGCATTCTGTGGCGTCGTGGAGAGCATTTCCGGCGCATCTGTGGTGATGGTCGTTGTATTTGGAATTTTCGTAGTTTTCTGCTTCACGAGACTATCCGATTTAAGCGCTGGAGTAGTAATGGTTCCCTCTGTTACGGGCAATATGTGTTTGGGTCCTACAAAGTCATCCAATATAACACTGATGTAGTCAGATGTGGACTCGGCGGTTAAATCCTCAGTGGTTGAGATAGTTTTGGTGATATTCTCAGATGTGGATTCTAGGGGTAAGGCTGCAGTGGTGGTTGTTTGGGTGGTGCTGGGCAACAAAGTCGTCGTCGTATTAGCCGCTCTAGTTGCTTTGTCAACCGCTGCTGTTGTTGTTGTTGTTGTTTTTGTTGTTGTTGAAGTGAACGTGGTTGTTGTTTCCACATTAGAAGCGGACTTGGAAGTTGTCGTTGGAGTATTTCCGATTGCAGATGTGGTCATCGTTGAGTTTGTAGAGTCCGTTATGGAAGTGCTCTGCGAAACTTCGGTGGTTGTGACCATCTTCGGCGTATTCTCCTCGTACGCCTCATTCTCGTCATGACCGTGCCCGTCGATAATCCAACTGATAATTACCGGTTTTATTTTCTCTCTTACGGGCTTTACAGTCGTGCCATTGGCCGTCACATTGGCTGGCACGATAGGCGTGGTTAGGTCGAGTGGTTCCTCAGTTGCTGGCGTGGATTTCGGAGTGACGTTTCGAGTCGGCGCATAGGGCTCAAACTCCTTTGATTCCATGCTACTTGAGCCGAGTTCCGGCCGATGCTCCTGCATGATGGCCTTCATCTTCTCCATTTTCTCGATGATCTCCTTGGTCATGTTGTACATGCGCATGAAGACAGACAGACAGCCGTCGGCATGCTGCGTCTCTTTCTTGCAGCGAGCGTACTCGCTTTCGAGCTTATAAAGGGCCTCCTTGGTCCTTTTGCTGCGCAGGCGCGGGTAGAGCTGTTGCAGATTGGCCTCAAGCTGAACGGGATCGAGTAGATCCGGCAGGTGACGGCGCTGACGACGCAATCGCTTCTGTAGTCGAAACATGAGGCGCAAGTGTTTCAGATGCACTTTTTGTTCCTCATTGTCGTTGCCCAGAGGGGTATTATCGATATCCAGATGGGTTGTTGGCCCCAGCAGGGGAGTAGTGTCAAGCAGTTGAATACGCACGGGTGGCAGATTATTTATATTCCCCACAAGATCCTCATCTATGGGCTCTACAGGCTGGGCGTGTTCATCATCAAGTGTCATTATATGGCTGAGGGGATCTGTTGACGCTTTTTGCTTTAGACGGCCAATCATTGGAGGATGTTTTGTACTCACCCATTCTCTCCAGTACAATGCCATGATAGATAAGCGAAAGCAGAAGTGTGATCAAGACTACGGTCGATATGAGCACGATGCGACTGCAGGGCATTCGAAATGAGCATCTACGTGGATTTCGCAAACCTCCCTTTGCTTCGATCTCTGCATAATTAAAGGTAAATTTATCAGTCTCCAATCTTTTAAATAATTTTATAATCAACTGATTCCTGGTTAGCGTGATTTGCTCTCAATTGTCATTGCTGCGAATATGTTTTCTAATGATTAAAGTACAAATGATTATAAAACACAAAAAAGATGGAAACTATTCATATTATTTGTATAATAATTACCCTTGTGTTATAATTATAATCTTAAATCGAAACACAATTAAATAATCGATTAAGAAATGTAATTGTCGTTGCCTTTAAAAACACATATGCCCCTCCGAAGGTAGCTCAATAAAAAATGTGTTGACAACAACTCGTTAATAATTTTAACATAGTTTAACGATTTTGTTTATTTTTTGTTTTCCCGAATATGTTTCTTGTATTTTCTGCCGGCTTACAATTATTTTTGTCAGCGAGGTCTTTGCTCGCCAGCACTTTCGCAACAGTTTCAGAAAGTGCGCCTAAGTGCTGACGCAGCTGGCACTAAAACCAAAGTTTAACTTAAACAATGTCGAGCTTGTGCAATCATTGATTTAAAATGGCAATAAAAACAATTATTTTAATTATCTTGAATTATCTGAATTGTTATCTTGTTTCGAATATAGGTATAATTTGGTTCTTCACCATTCACTTTGTCATTTATTTATTTACAATAATAATCCGGATAATTTATTTCTGTTCCTAGTATTTTTTATAAAATGTTATTTCTGTATTATAACTTGGTTTGCATGAGCACCTCAAATATTAAATTAAAATCCAATAAAATGGTTATTGGAAGCAGTAAAATCAATATAAAGTACTATACTATATGTATATTTTTAAACCTACCATCCATTTTAAAATAAATTCACACACACGACTACGTTTTTATGGTTTTCTGTTGTACTGATAGTTAGAATTTGTTATTATAATTGTGTTATTTTTCAATCCTCTATGCCACCAGCTTCACTTTCACATATCAATTGACACAGTTTCCGGCAATAATCAAATTGCTCTTGAATATTCAAAACTCTAATTCGAAGAGGATCATCAAATTACCGAAATTCACTCAAACAAACCAAAAAAAAATAAAATAAACAAAATATAATATAATAACGAAATGCAACAATTTAGCTCCGGTGCGGTAATCCAAATGGAGGGAACTGCGAATTTGAAACCGCGACAAGACAATTACGACCAAAACGAGGAGAACTGCGAGCGACTTCCGCGCTTTCGACCGGCGCACGGCAACTGAAGAGCTCGATGGCTGTGGGGCCCGCTTATGAAGCCCCCGAAAGTGGATCAGCTTCGAATCGCGGCGACGTCGACCCACTTCCTCGGCTTATTTTGCTGTGCTGTCTGCAAAATATTTTGAACCTTACAGTTTTTTGGTTAATGAAAATGCCCAGAACTGCTGGATCAGCTGAATCGAATGTGGAAAAGTGCAAGTTGAAGGGAATTGTGTGGTTGTCAGTGCAAACACCGCCCACCCACATTTACATATATGTATGCATGTATGTACATACATAGTTATACATTTATGCACAATTAAGTGCGTGCAGAAATGTCAATGACCTAAGCTAGCTTTGAGTTACAATTTAGTCAGCCGGCACACACTATGTTTATTTATCAAACACTACAAAAATCTAGCAAAAACAATTTTAGAATACAAATTTTGCATTTAAAAACAAAATACACAGCCCCGCACCAAAAAAATTTCGATAAAATTGCCAAAAAACTTTGCCAAAATTATACCTATTATTGAGAATGTGAGTATTAACAGCGGCTTTAGCTCCAGCTACTCCAAATCATTACTTCCCACCTACTCCTCATGTGTGTAGATACAAAAAAAAAAAAGAAAAAACTCAAAAAATACTATTTCAAAAAAAGTATACCCTGACCAAAAATATTGATGCTAAATTCGGCAAACTCTCTACCATTACAATCCTTGCGTGTAAACCCAAAACGTTCGGCAGGCATGTGCGGCACCATCATATTTCGGCAGCACCCACGGACCGAATGGTGAGTAGACGCATCGAAAATCAAACGAATGACAAAAAATGTTGACTAATTTGTTGCCAAGAAATGTGAGAGGAGCCCGTTTGGCGTCAAGGTACGTTTAGAAAAGAAAACTTGTACATTAAGGAACAGAATTTATGCATTTTATTCGATGCGTGTAAAAATTTAAGGGAAATTATAAACCTGAGTTTCGCAATTCATGTCGACTTACTAGCTACAATATATATGTGTAGTTATTTTTGTAATAGGGCTCGATAATAAGTGTTATACCGATGAATATTCTTAACATACTATAAAGAACTTAATTGTCTCATAAACTTATAAATTAGCGCGCTTCATTATGTCATTTCAAACTTCAAAAATAAATGGTCTGGCGCATAAGCAAATCATAAACGATGGGTATGTAATTACTGAATGAAATGAAAGGAAATGTTCGAAAAAATCAGGTTACGCAGCGTCGATTGTTTACGGGTTAGATCGGGGACACTTGGCGCTGTAGAGCATCTGCAACAACTGGCGAAACGTCTCCGGGCTGATGTTATTGGCCACACGCATTAGAACAAACCAATCGCCATAACTGCAGTTCTGTATAACACTCTGCACATGTGATTTAGACATGAAGCGTGCCTGAGTGTGCAGCAAATGAAAACGTATCCCGCGATGGGAGATGACGAGCAGACGATAGAACAGCTTGAGGCCCGCCAACAGAGCCATCAATATAAACCAAATCCAGAGGAAGGCGAAGATCTTCTCATTCACTATGTTCAAGGGCAGCAGACATAGATTATCATACACGGAGTTCGAGCCGCCGGCGCCGTAAATTTGTAGCTGGCACTTCGCAATCTTCGGAAAAATGCGCGAGACAATATGGTTCCACAGGTCCCAGTTGTAGGAGGGCACAACGTTTAGAGCTTCAATATAATGGGCCCAGAAGTTATCGAGAAATACGTTCAGCAATAGCATATTGACAATCTTAAATACAACCAAGAGTTAAATGCAAGAATATATAACATAAATATGACTACAAACTTACGCTGATGGTGAAGTTCATGACCTCGCAAAGTACGTATGAAGCAAAATAGCGGAAGTGCGCATCTTTGTAGTCGCTTCTGAAATACTCCACCAATGCACCAAGTCGGGATGTGATCTTTTCCTTATCCAGCTTATGATGTAATTCCGCGCACAGGTATTTTAGCCTACCGCCCTCCCAAACCTTCCAGAGAAAGGCCGGAAAATAGAAAACGAAGGACTGCAGTAGCAGCACCAGCACAACCCATTGGTAGTAACGTAAGAAGATGCGTTCGGTTTTTGCGCCCCTAGGTATTTGTTCGTACTGAATGTACAGTAGATTAGTTCCAGGCGTGGCCGAGTTTTTCGTGGCGTTTTCGTAAGCGCCCTTAGCCTTATTCAGCAAGTACTCGCGGTCCGACGGAGACAGTTTTTTGTAGTCGTAGCTCCATATATAAGTGCCCATTGTCCAGCAATAGGAATGTACATAATCGCTGAACTTCAAGTCTGATATGCATTGTATGGGATCGCCGAAATATTGCTTGGCTGATAGCAAACAAGTGCAAGCCAGTAGCAGCGCTACTGTACATTTTGAGTGGAGCGTAAATACCAAATCATATATACGCACCGACTTATGCTGCAGGTACTTAGAGAGTGGAGCGACGGCTGTATACATTTTCTTTGAATTTAAATCTTAAGTCAGCCTGCGAAATTTAGCTAATTCGCTAAAAATGATCCACAATCTTCGTTTGCTTCCGGTTTCTTAGTATTTCTTTAAAGCACGCGGGAACTTAACGGTTGTTGCTATGTTTCTATATGAGCAAAATTTCATTTTGTAGCAGTGTGGCAGCCCTGCATTAATTATGCTTGGTGTTTAGTATTTTATGGTGCTGCCAGATGGGTGTGTGTCATCACTAGTTAGTTGGCCAACGACACAGCCACTTGTGTGGCAGCCTCATTCTGTTAGCCGCTTCTGCCAGACATTTGAAATTAGGTTGTTATCGATAACTATTAGAATATTTTGTACCTCTCTAGTTTCACTTACCCACATGTGCTCATTAGTACCATTTGCGTTTAAACAACTTTTAAAATAATTAACTTTTGTTATGAGCTTTACTAAAAGTGCGTATTTTAACATCTATAGATTCGCTTTGAAATCACTCGAACAAGATTTGTTTTTGATTACAGCTTAACCATCAGGCGAAGCACATCAAGAATGAAGGAACAACTGTCTTCGAAACAGCAGGAGCGCAATGAAAAGAAAAAGAAGAAGATGGCCGCTCTAGCAAACCTCATGCAACTGAACGATAGAGATCGTGTGCACGAGGCAGAGCTGGCCAAGCGTCGCGAGGCCCTCCTCAAGAGCGGCTCAGATGGCGCAGCCTCGCCCAATGATGATGACGACGGAGGCTTTGTAACAGTGTGCAGTAAACGAAAGCCCCGCAATCGTCTTACAATTAAAAACACGAGCGATGAAAGTGCTGCATGCGATGCGGATGAGCCGAAAATCAAGAGAAGTCGTAGTGCCGAGGGTGGCGGCGGCGACTTGCCGGATCCCGTGTCCACATTGACTGAGGAACAGTACAAGTCACTCTCTGCGGAGTTGCGCCGGCGCAAACGCGAACTGGAGGACATGCCTGGTCTGCGTTTGCGCGAAATGGGGCAGCGCGCCTCTTTGGAGACGCCACAGGATGTGCGCACACCAATCTTCCTTACCGATATACAGCATCTGCTGATGTCCGCGTTGATCGGCAGAAACAGTCCATGTGCGCCAGATCGCTGGTGCTCGCTGGACAAATGGCTGAGCCTGTCGCACAGCGTGGTTGTCATCCTGGAGGGTTTGTCGCTATATCATTATTTGTCCAACGAGAGCCGCTTCGAGGCGACCAATCGTATATTCAACACCAAACTAGAGATGTTGCTGCCGCCGCAGGATGAGGGTAAAATTATCGACGAGATTGCGCAGGTTAGTGCATAATCCAACAGCTGCCCCCACACTCTTAACTTGGACAACTCCCCCTTCTTATTTCGTCTAGATTCCGCTGACAAATGTGCAAGCGCAAAAGTTAATTGACGAACACGGCTCATTAGAGTCGGCCGTGGAGCTGAACAAGGACCCCACACTGCTTGTTAAGACAATTTTTCCAATCGAGAAACAAACATGCAAAGATGCGCTGGAGCTGCATCCGGACGATAAATTTCCACGCACCAAACTGCTGCTCTCGGCCCTACAGATGGTCGACGAGGGCTATCCCATTCCCCTCCAGGGTGAGCTGCACAGCCGCTTTAAGTCATTTGTGTTCACAAAAAAACGTTATGCGCCCGTCACCGACCGCAGTCCCATGTACGGCGTAGATTGCGAAATGTGTCGTACCATCGCAGGCGTCAATGAGCTGACACGTATTTCGATTGTCGATGAGAAACTCGAGACCGTGTACGAGTCGTTGGTGCGGCCCATCAACAAAATCACCGACTATCTGACACAGTACTCCGGCATAACTGCCGAGCTGATGGAGTCGGTCACCAAGCAATTGTTTGAAGTGCAGCAAGAGGTGTCTCAGTTGCTACCTGCCGACGCTATATTAGTGGGTCAGTCGCTTAATTCGGATCTGAACGCGCTCAAAATGATGCATCCATATGTAATCGATACTAGTGTGTGCTTCAACATTTCGGGCGTGCGTAAGCGTAAGAGCAAGCTGAAGCATTTGGCCCAGACTTTCTTAAAGGAGCAAATTCAAGAAAATGATGATGGACACGACTCCATTGAGGACTCGCGTGCCACCCTCAAGCTGGTCAAAATGAAGCTGGCCAACAGCATCGAATTCGGCGATGAAATTCTGACGCAACGCAAGCGAATTCATGAGGTGGTCCGTGCCAGCAGTGGGGACAGCATCAAGAACAATCTGTTTGCCCACGTGGCGAAGCGGGACAAGCGCACGGCCATCGTAACAGTTGGAGATTTGCAGCCGCGGCTCAAGGAGGTTATTCAGAAAGCGGAGCAGGCGGTGCCGAAGGATAATCGCAAAGCGGTACATGTACACGAGGTGTCTTCGCCCAAGGAGGCGGTACGCAAGGTCAACGAGATTGCTCTGGAGCATGCCTTGACAATTGCGAATCTGCTTGTACCCGAACAGGACTTTATGTTGGAGACAGCGGAGCGAGCGGCGACCAAGGTGGACAAACTTATTGAGCGTCTGTGGAACACAGTCGCCCACAACGGACTCTTCCTGGTGCTAATGGGCGGCTCGGCGGAATGCACGAAGGGCGTGGCTAAAATCGCCATTAAGCGTCTTAACGGCACTAATGAAACGAGTGCGCCGCTCAGCGTTCAGGATTAGAATGTAAATAGTATAATGGGGGGAGGAGAGGAGTGTGCCCGCCCACGACTCTAATATAGATGACCGCTATAATATATTATTTTTGATAAACAATATCAAATGCTTTAAACCAACAAAACTTAACCAATTAAAATTTGCGTACAGTGCATCTTCAAGTTTTTGGTGTAGTGGCTGGTAGTCGCAGAGCCATCAAGGAAATTTCTTCGTATTTGGATTTAAGTACACAAGACCACAAGCAAATAAAATCCAACCCCAATCCCAAAACTTCAACTCTTAAACCCAATATGTGTAACCCGTCAAGTTAACACATTTATCTGAAGAAAATTATAAATTTATCTTGATGAATATTCAGCTATGAATAATGAATAAACAAATTCTACATTTATTTTTTCATAAAAAATATAAGAAAACTTTTCAAACTTAACCAATGTTGTTTGTCTGTGCTTGTTTTTCCTGTGGGGGCGGACAGTCTCAATATTTTCAGGCGGGATGACCTACTTTTTGGATGCCACTACAGTGTGCTGTTGTTGGTGTTCTTTGTTGTCTTTGTTGTCGTGATAACAACAATAAATTTCCTACCACACTCAACGCAGCGCTCCGTTGTCTAGGCCCTTAACTCTCTTACTATTTGTCGCTCTCTGGCTCTCACTCTCCCGCTCGCTGCCGTTTGGCATTTAGTCGTGCATTGCATGGAAAGTGAAAGTGCCGTTAGTTTAGGCTCTAGAGCTCGTTCTTATCAGACGAGCGTTGGCGTTTCGTTTCGTTCGCTTGATTGGCACACGCTCGAAAATATTGCGCCTGGCACTGCTCCTACGATTACTCATACGACCTGTGGGTCAATCGCTCCGCACACTGCGCAAGTGCTGCACCGAAATCAAAGAGAAATTTGCCCAAAAGAAAATTTTTGCGTGATGTTGCCAGATAGAGTTCAACTTTAAAGATACATAGAAATGTTTCATGTATACATTTTAAAATTTTCGATTTTTTTAATGAGTGTAACATGCTTTTACTTATTATTTTTTATTATGAATAGTTAAACCCAGTCTTTTGCGCATACTTAAAAGTATTTTACTAATGGTTTTTTTATTGACAATGTTATAAACATGTCATCCATTATCTTCAATAAATTTAGGCTTAATTGAGGTTTAATTAGAAATTCCTCATTTATCTTCCATTATTCCGTGGAAATTGTTTAAAGGATTTACCTTTTTTTTGTTGCCTCAGGATAATATCCGATATCTTGGAAATATCAAGATTATTAATTACAGCTTCTGCTGCCAGCTGGCCAAGGGATTTATGTCATTTCAATACTAATAAAGTTTTGTAAAACTTTTTTAAATACATTTACGAAACAGAAACAAGAATAAGCTGAACATACTATATTTGTTATCATTATTTAAAAATAACATTAATATACAATCGAATGGAACCAACAGATGGCAACACTAACTTGGGAAATTTGGTATGTTTTTCTTTCTCGTCATTTTTGCCACTCGAGTTGAGCAATCTTCAGACATATACATGAATATACACACACATAAATACCAATATAGATGTGCATGTGCATGTGAGTGTGTCTGTGGCTAGCATCCGCGCAAAGGCACACAAAATATTTTGTTGTATACGCTTTTCGCTTGCCGAACGGCGACGTCGTGCTTCGTGCCTTGTCTTGGTCGTGTTCCCAACAGCGCGCAAAAACGAAAAAGAATAAAAAAAAAAACAAAATAAAAATATATAGAATATATCGCGAAAGCCGTGAGGCATAAGTTTTTATATATACATTGTACCTACACACATAGTTATAGCAACAATAGATAATAAAAATAAATAAATAAATGAAATTGTAGTGAAATAGAGGAATTCTGAAGCTTCGTGCACATTAATAGAGCTGGTCAATACGCAACAAAAAGTATTTAGATGTAAACAAGAAAAAATAATTCGATTTGCAAACGGAAATAGGCAGCACAAAAGTTATAAACAAAAAAGTAATGCACACAAATTGTTGTTAACATAAACATATACGAGTACAAGTAGTAGCTGCTCTACAGAAATCAATGTGGGGTAAGTAATACTTGAGGCGCCGAGGCGGGGGGGAGTCAGTCTCTCTTACAAATTAAGCCTAATAATTAATAAAAACAGCCGAGCAGGCACAACAAACCCAACATCATGCAGCATAAATTGTGTATCTATAAGATACACACTCACAAGCATAAGCACATTCCTTATTACTGGCATTACAGGAAGCGAAAGAGTGTGTGTGTGAGTGAGGGTGTGCGTGTATGTGTGTGTGTGTGTGTGTGTGTGTGTGAAACTCGTTCAGTGTGTCAGCTAGAGTAAATACAACAACAATAGCAGCAGCTATAGCAACAACAGCTGGAGCTACATAACGCATACGCCGCATTGTCAATTGTCAGTTTGCTACTTTCTGGCTTTTACAGCTGCTGCCACCTCTTCATTTTTTTTATTTTATCCGCACATGGCCAACGATTGGCAGTAAGCGGCAGTTGCCGCCCTTGGCACCAGTTGCCGCGACCGTACCAAACGCCACAATTGCTACAATAGCTGCCAATGTCTAACCCCATCTGCACGGCAAAAAAATGCAGCTGTGTTGTTCATCAATCCAGCTTACATTAATAAAAGTATTTTAGGGTTTGTTGGGAGGCGTAATGCCACAAAAGGTATTCATCAATTATTAATATTCAGATAACGTATATTTTACTTTGTTTAGGCTTGTTGCAGAAATTTTTGTGACTTACTCACAGCAGCAAACAATTGACGTTGCCAAATAATCGATCGAGGAAAGTTTAATTAAAGAAGCAACAGAATTTCCTATAGATAGATGAAATATCTAAATTGTCTTTAAGGACATTTTTAACATGCCGAGCAAAGTAAAATAATTGTATGTAGACGTATTACTTATGTACTTGTATAGTCAAGTTTTTGTGTAGAAATAAAATAATGTTAGCAAGAAGTGAATTAGAAATGTTCTAAATACAGTTGGCATCTATGGATATTTCTTAAAAGAAACTTTTTACTTATCTTTAAATTGTCCACCCTATTGTCCCCTATGTTAAGTCTTCCACAAAAAGTGTATGCTTTTTTTGTTTCAATATATAGTATGTACTTAGCTACATATAGTATGCATTTAGCCTTAACCAATAGCATAGATTTAACAATTATTTGTTGATATCATAACTCAAGCTATTTATAGTTTCACAAAACTCTTCGATTTCTTCAATTTGTTGTTAGATTGTAAGCCTAATTTCTAGTTACACTGATCAATCATTATATCTTATTTAGGCATTATTTACATTATTTTTTTCTCTGTATACATACGTACGTGTACATGACTATCAACATCAGCTGCAACAACTAACCAAGTGGCCTCAATCGCCCAGTTAAATCCCAACGGCCGCCGTCGCGCTCTTGATATTGGGTATTGGCCCAGTCACAGTTTCAGTTTCAGTCTCAGTCGCAGCCCCAACCCCAGCTTCAGTCGAGCCACTCTCTTTCTCTCTCTGCTATCATTTGTCTTGCCTTTTGCTTTGTGCTTTGTGTGTTGTGCAAATGAAAATTTGTTCGTTTAGGTTATTTCCCTTTTTGTTGTGAAGCGCGCGCGTGCTCCAATTTCTGGCCATGGCCACCCACATCAGCACCACCTCTTCAGCCACACTATCCACCACTCACCACCCACCACCACCCACCCTCAAACAGCAAGCCCGTGAAACATGGAACATGTTGCGTAGGGTTTTGTGCTTTGAGGGTTGCTTCTTATTTCGTGTATTTGACGGTCGTTCGTTTTTTGGAGATGGGGCGTGGGGATGGTTGCTGAGGCCTTTGTTAACTTTGTGGTTGGAGCTTTGTGCTCGGCCCACGACACCCGGGTAATCAAAAGCACTTTTAAACAATTAAATTCAGAAGCGAAGTGAAAATTTTATTTTTTCATTAAACAAATGTCGGCCAACTAATGCACGGAAATAAAAAGCTTCTGTCAAAATAAAGATACTCGAAATGGCACAGCTCTTGCAAATAAGCTTGAAAGTTATATGCCTCCCATAGAGATTATTTTCAATGAACTTCTTGTCTGGTCTGATTGATTGTTTGATAGGTAGTTTCTTAAGCCATTTGTATATCAAATTGAAATTTGTATTCTTTCGTCAAGTTGTCATTTAGCCAATTTAATCGACTGGGCCAATTGCAATTCAAAGCCAGTACGCATTTCAAAAAATGCTATAATGGATTAGATAAACAAAGTTTATATTGCATTTTTTGAAAAAACGTTGATGACCGACAAGAAATCATCATATAAGTAGGTCAACAAAGAAATAAGTACATTGTTGAACAATTGCATTTTTTCTTCCCTGCTCTTCAGCATAGATACGAGCGTATACAGTATATGCATATTATTTTTGCTCAACACACTTTTAAATTACCTGTGTAATATATAAAAGAAAACAATACTCGTCTGCAAAATGGGAAATCCCCCTGTACACTCTGACTCACTGATTGATTATGAGACTGCCCCCAAACACTGAAATGGAACCATTTAAAAACTCCTGTATTTTTGGCGCTGGATTTTGTCCAAGTCGTTGTCGGTGTCGGTGTCTGCTGTTACATTTGGCAGTTGGCCAAGTGGCCCGTTCTGTGAATATGGCTAAAATATTTTGTCTAATTTCGGCTCGTCAGCTTTTATTTCTATTTTTTTTTTTATTTGTTGACATAGAGTGCGCAAATTCCATAGCGATATTGCTGGCCGAAGAGATGAGTAATCCGTTTGTGCATTTTAAAATTGTTCTTTTCTTAGCGAATTGTTATTGTTCGCTTTTCTTTTTATTGACTTGGCGACAGGCATTAAAGCATGACTGAATGATGTCATGTGGTTATTGTGAAATCCTGCCCTCTGTGCGAACCAACGAGCTAGCCAGCCACCACCCACGGACGTAGAGCCCTATGAGTCAGGTTGGGGCAGTCAGATGCCACGGCCCTTTGCAAATCGAATTAGCTGCGCTCCTCACATTTTGCAGGTTTCCAAAAATACCGAGAATGCTAAAATACTGAATAACTGAAAAGTTGCACAGAGTTCAACAGACCAATTGAAATCCATTTTAGATTCATTTCCACTTCTCGTTGGCTAATTCAGCTGTGCGACTATTCGACGACTATAAATAGAGTGCTGGGCAGTGGCCATTATATGCTAATGCCCTTACCATAAGTATCGCCACATGCACGTCCAACTGAACTGCTGAACTTGTGTCTGCCGTCCCTGCCCAATCTTTCCCGATTTTCTTCGTGTTGCCCAAAAGAATGCTTAATTTGTTTCTGTCTAAATGCCAAATATGCCAGAAATATTTCTGGTCGATTTTCTATTTTTTCTTCTTTAGTTGTGGTATTTGCATTGCACTGAAACTTCCTAGAGGGGCACAGTGGGCTTAGTAGGGCATAAAGTGCAGATAAGACAAGCTAACAGTTTGAAATCTCGGCAATTCTAATATAAACTCCTGTATTTACATTAGTTATACATGACTCTCTTCCCTAAATAATGTTGATTATTGCTGTGGCTGGTTTTATTCTGGGAGTGTGATGTTATTTTGTGATTCTGATTAGCAGTCATCAAATTATTCAGTAAAAAGAACCAAAAAGAATTTTCGAAAATTTAGAACATAATTAATTATATTGCAAGCAATTTTTTGATTAAAAAACAAAACCGATAACGGCTTTATACATATTAATGCTTTAGTATATGCCAATAATCAATGTCGGATAAAATAATCTATTTTTGTAACTGAGTTCAATTATTGAATGGAATTATGAGCAAAGCAACATTAAGTTATAAATATTGTGGATCATCTTCTGTATTGAATTACACAAAAATAAATTAAAACTCTATTCAGATTTTATATAACCATCCTTATTAATGAATGCACGAAATTATGGAATTACTATGAAGAAGCACTTATGTTGCTTGATCATATCTCTCTATTTTTTTTAAAGCAATTTGTTAGATGGGTTATTTTATTTTCTCTTCCAACTTAAAATAATGTATTTAATGTTTTTGAAGAAAATAGTAGATACATGTGCACTTAAAATAAGAGTCGTAATCAATAAATTTGATCGAACAATAAATATCAGATCTTCTATTCTTAAATATAAGGATTATTTTTTTTTAGCAATTTAGTCTTTGCAATGGTAAATTGATTAATTTAGAATTACTTGCTACCAATTGCTTTTTTATTCAGATAATGGCCATAAGCGTCCCACTGTTCCGCTCCGCTTTATTTACTTTGCAGCTCATTTGTTTTGTTTTGTTTGTTTGTTAACATGCCGCCGCCTTTACTTCAAAAAAAAAAAAAAAACTACAAATGTTGTTTACAGAACTCTGCTACTGTTGTTCTTCTTCTTCCCCTTCTGACTGTTGTTGCTGCTGTTGTGCGTATGTAATTATGTTTAATTAAACTAATTAAACACCTTTTCTTTAACGGACAGAGAAATATGAACGGAGCGGCTTTGTTGTTGGTGCTGTTGTAGCTGTTGTTGCTTTTCGCGCATTGCTAATTAAATTTTGCTATTATGCGGTGTTTGAATACAAATATTGGATTTGTTACTAATGTGACGATGCCGATGCCGATGTCGATCATAAAATCGTCAAATGATAAACAGCTGCTTTCATTTGAATGCCCGGCTAGCTGTAAATGTGGAGACAGTTGGGCCCAATAGAGCCAACTCATCACGTAGCCAGCTAGTCAGCTAGTCAGCCAGGCTTGCGCTCACGGTCAAGGTTGGATTGGATGGCAAAAGTGTTAAGAGTTGTGCGACGCTTTTGATTTCCGTCAACGTTGCGACTCATTAGCGGCAACAACAGCAGCAACAGAAACTTACGATGTAAACATGCGGTTCTATATACAAGTATATGTACATACTATGTATGTATGTATATCCATTTATGTACATAGAACGCATGCATGTATGCTTTTCAGTATGTATGTACTGTTATGTGACTTTTTATTACTTGCATATGCTGCAGCTTTTATTCCCATGCCCGCTGCCTTTGTCTCGACCTTGGCCGCAGATAACTATAAGAACCACTGTGGTTGTTGTTGCAGCTCTTGCTCTCACAAGCCTCTACTTCCATATGTACATACATATGTATGTATGCATGTTTATGTATATTTGTGTGACAATGGGCCACTGCTTAGCGCTGCGCTTTGCTTTATTGACTTTCCTTATCAATGAAAATTCGTGTGCGCACAAAACCACGGCACAATTACAGTTGTCAAACATCAGAAGGCACATCGATACAAATATACAAGCACAGTGCCATGCCCATTGCCACCCACACCCAAACACTGATATACACATACATACTATACATACATACCTATGAATATGTATGTATATGCTTTAATATTTATATATTTTGTACAAATATGCAGCGCCGCTACGTTAATTAGAAAATCCAACAACGTCAACAGCGTCTGCTGCTCCCTTTTGCCAGCAAAATTGTATCGTGTTTTTTGGCATTCTTATAAGTGTATATAAACTTCATACATATGTACATACATAGATTTACTTATTTGACGTTGCTGTTTATACAACAAATTGAATTGATAATTGAGTCGTCGGCGACGTCTTCTGCCTTCTCAACCGCCACGGCTGCTGTTGCACTTGAAGGGCCCTCTTTCCGTTCACTCCACACTTGGTGGTAGAAACTTGCATGGATTTGATTATAGTTTAATTAAACTTTATTTGCAAGCTTTGCATTTTCCAAAACGTGCGGGTACAACATCATTTTTTACTGAAGAGAAAAAACGCAGCTATACATGCTGCGTGGGGTGTGCGTCTCCAAATAGTTCGATTGCTATGGCACTCGTTAATACTACTAAACTCATTCATTCATTCCGCACAGAGTAGGAAAGAGCTTATCGAAAACGAGCACATTTAAAAATATATAATGCTGAGGAATGAAACGAGTTGCATATTGTGTGAGCGGGAGCAGTGAAATAACAATAAATTAAGTTATGCGACTCGTTCAATGATTAATGGTTCGTAAAAGAGTCAAATGTTACTCTTCTTTAAATGACTTTCATAGGCATAACCATTTTTCCTTCTCTAAGAACTAATGCGTGGCTTGAATGAAATTTTTCAACCCCGTCTAGAAAGTGTTGCTTATGTGCTTATTTGGTGGAGTAGATATGTACAAGTTTCTATTTCTCTTCATATGTTATTTGTCAAAATAATAGCTTAACCACCTTTTGTGTTGGCAAATAAGACTGTTGTCAACGTGTGAAAAAAATAAACTTATAAAAACTAGATAAAAACTTATAAGATTGAGCTTAAAAGCGACAGAAAAATGTATAAAATCAATTTATAAATATAAAGCATATCAATTAAATATAGATTTCTCTTTCGTAAGTGAATGAAAAATATGCAATTTCATAAACATAAATAAATCAAGCGATTGATTGAACGGAAAATATTTTAATTGTTATTTTTCGTGTTTATTTCGAAGAGATTTTCAGATTTTCTATATCTTATATGTTGGTCGTTTTGATATTATCAATTCTTTGGGGCACTTTTTGCATTTCATATGGCCCGAAAAATATTTTATTATTCGAACGACGTTTGTTTTATAAATAAATAAAAAGAAATGCAAACTTTAAACCATCAAGGGTTTGGTTCATATCTAAAATAATACTCTCTTCTATCCCGGTTCATAAGTCTAGCCCATTTCTATGAATACATATATTAGTATTAAAATTAATTCACTCTGATCCTTTGTCTCAATGCAGAATTGCCAGCAACTCGTTTACTGAGTACGCAGCAGCACCCGAAAACTAAAGATAGCCTACGATTTTCCTTATTCGCACTTTAGCATACGAGTATAAGTGGTTCACACATACACACACACACACACATATATATATACGCACACATACACACAGAGACAGAGTGGCGAACCTAATCTGTAAGGTTCGCCGACGACATAGCTGGCAGTTGAAATTCAGAGTTTGGCGCGCGTGCATCGCAAAAGTCGTCGTGCGAAAAAAATTGACATACTAATAAATGAAAATACATAAAATATCGAGCAATGAAAACTTGCCAATTAGCGTAATTAATAAAATAAGAAAATAAAATAAATGAAAAAAGTGTTGGACGGGGGGCATTGAATGAAACGCCCGCACATATCTAAAGTCAATAGCAAACCAAAATAAATCGCATTGATTGATTGATGCATGCGCCTTCCTACGCTTGATAAGGCGCTCTATCTACTATTCAACAACAACAACAGCAACAACAATAGTGTAAGAAATGCCGGCAGACTATACAAATAGAATTAAATGAAACACAAGAAATTGTGCCTTTAAGTGCAAGCCAACCGCACCCGAACGCCCACTTTCCAATCGAACCCAACATCCTCTCGGCAGCAGCAGCCCCCCCATAAAGGGTGTTAATTTTAATCGGAGCTTGTGCTCGATATAAAAGTAGTCGGTCAGTGGATAACGCAAGTCTCTCCCCTCCATAAATTTATTTGCATACGATAATTGGTTTTATTGCATTATAATGTGCGCCGATTGTGTGACTATCGTAGGGTCTTTTTCTTCTTTCTGCCAGCCAGCACATATTGATATACGCAGCATTGTAGTTGTTGTATCTGGGGAGCTGCTACCCCATCTATGTATGTATGTATATACATAAATACCGTAGTATATTCTGATTAGTCACGAGCTCTGAGGCGAGCACGTCAGCTTTCGCATTTTGTCTTCCTTACATCTGTTCAAACATTGCCATACAACTTACGGATACTTTGTTTATAGATTTTTATTTTATTTTTAATGTGCTTTTGCAAATTTCTTTGCACCCCGCTATATGCCGACATATATTTATACATTTATATGTAATCAATTTTGTTTGACTAGAACTTAAAGCACAGCAACAAGCAAAATTAACAACATCAACTCAAGTGACAAATGATAAATTATGGGGTAAACTATACGATGGTAGTTCTTTTTTAAAAGACATACGCCGTTCATAAGCGATAAGCATTCACAATCTGTTGAAAGTTATATTTGTATCAGATAATTCCGAAACTATTTGGGAATATCAATGCGCATTACTAATAGGTGGCTGCATATTGGAAAATGCACGAAGTTTCCTTAATCTGTTATGAAGAAAATTGTTTATAATACATAAACAGTCATCAGAATTATGGATACAGTTCTCAAGAAAATGAACAATTTATAAATATGATAACAATTGTATTATACGGTCAAACCGAACTTTTTGTTTATAAACTTTCACAAATGTTGCAAGGGAAAAAGCTGCTTGTCGTAAGGAAAAACAAAAGTTATAGTAATGCAGATGCTACCGGAAATGGACATTAATTAATTAGCTTAAACATTCTTCGAAATATGAATGTATGTAGTTAGTAGTGCAGGCCTTCTAGTTTGACGGATCTAATTTAATTAATAAGTAAATGTTCTAAAAATAAGGTTTTGTTATTGCTTCTAACATTCAACGAATACTTGTATGTGTGCAAAATATTTGCTCCTCCGCCCTTAATTTTAAAATTGATTTTAGTGCTTGCGTTTCATTAATGAAGAGAAACGTGCCAGCGAAAGCTTTAATTTTTATTCCATTCTTATTATATTTTCATCCACAAATAAGTTGTTTGCTTAGATAAAAAGTAACTAAGAGAATATTGAAATGAAACGGTAATGTGGATATACAATTCATTATCCATTTCTTCGAGTGGTCTTTATAACATAATTAAAGATATGAACAAATGATGTTTCGCAACTGAAGAGTAGCTTCCTGAAGTGCTTTGTTCAAGGCTTATCTGAGCTGGCCTTTGTTGGTCGCACTTTCCAAACCACAGATTAAAATTGATTCACACTTATGCAACTATGAAGCTTCTGAGATTTTGTAACTGAAACCTGCCAACAAAGGAAATATATCTGCGTAGTTTAAAGCTGGTAGGAGAACTCAAAGAACTAGGCATTGGGGGTATATCAGAAGCAACGATAAGGCGCACGGTTACCGGAATCATTTGAATGTTTTATAACGGCCCAATCGGGGTTTTATTTTCGACCATTCGTCCGGCATTAACGCGGCCTTAGGGCCGTCCGATTGAGACAAGTCGACGTCCAAAATTTGGCTGTCAACTGTGGGGCCTGACACTATCGTTGGCATGTCTCTTCGATATTTTATGGTCATGTCACGCGCTGAGGTTCTGTATCTTCCTAACATGATGTCTGCGTTAGTTCGTTATGATTTGCAGTTGGAGGTGTGGAGAAGGTTTGGGTGTGGATGGGTGGGTGGGTGTAGGTCACATGATTTATGGGCGTACATTGACGAAAACAAATTGTTATGCTGTTGGCAGTAATCAAACGATTAACTAACTGAATTTTATTGGTACGCCCCGACTTTAGGCTAATTGCACACTTCATAATTAATTATTTATAGTAATGTTCCGAAACAAATAGAATTTACAAAAAATCACCGATTAGGCACCCCATTTGATTTGTCTACTGAAGTGCGCCAATTGAAAGATAAGCGGCCGGCGAAAGCCCAAGTGCCATTAATGGTTTATTGCATCGGCCTATCGCTTTCAGTTTATGGGGGAAAATTGTGGTGTAATTCGAAATGGGCGTGGGTGACTAATGAGATGTGGAAACCCTTAGTGTTCAAAAATATAGTCGTAAGCGCCGGACTGAGTCAAGCGAATGTTGATTTATGATACCCTATTGCCACACAATCATATCTTTGCAGCTACCCGCGAAACTCACTGCCTTCAATGATAACAGTGCCATTCTAGAGCCGAAGCCTGGCAATAAGTACCGACGGAGACGCAACACCTCACGCGACAGAGAGCTGTACAAGGAGCCCCGCCTGACCAAGTTGCCGTTGGTGGGCGTACTGGTGCACAGGGCTTTGCGAGCACGCGACAGTGACAAAGAGCAAGAGGAAGACGTATTAGAAGCCAAGCAAGAATTGGTCGAAGTCATTCAGTCGCCGAGCGATAACAATCACAACAAAGACGACGCTATCGCGAGCTGCAGCGAGATGGTCTTGCCTTTTGGTCTCAGCCCCGACGGCCATCACGTCGACGCCATACAGAGTGCTCCAGCCCCGACTGCCCCGCCTGCACACATGGTCGTGCCGCCGCCTTATCAACGTGGCCAAACAAACATATACACGGGCGTCCCCATCATTCTCAATCCGTACATCGACTTTATTGTGGTCAATGGCGATGATCGCTACATGATCCGCTGCAAACGGAAGTCGGTGCTGGAGTGCAGTGTGGAGCTGGCGAAGCTCATACATGCCGGTCCCAACAGCGGACGCAAGAGCGACAACCATTTCCAGATACTCAACGTGGACAAGCACGACTTCGAGTCTATCGTGCGCTACATGGAGGAGCATTTCATAAGATTCGACGATCACAAGCATCTGCTCAAGATACTCGAGCTAGCTGATCGCTTCAATGTGCCCGATTTGGTAAGTGCGAGCATGTTTGTGGCAAGAGGAGAGTGAAATGCGATTTTGTAGATTTCGAACACATGAAATGTCAGAAATATCAGTTGTTCCATGACATCTCGCATTTTGTTTGTTTAAAGATTCTTCTAAGCAGTTTAAAGCTTCATTTCTATTGCTTATAAAATAAATGGTGATCAGTCATTTAATTGTACCTATTTATATTGTTTGATTTGTATATTGATTTGCTATTTATCTTTCATCATGTTATCTATTTCAATCTCATCTTAATTCCTCTTAGAACTTTTGATCAGTTACATACAAGTATATTCACACAAATCGAATCAACTTTTATTACTGACCAGTCTAATCTCTTGCTCTATTCTTTAAACAGATCATCTACTGCATACGTGAACTGGATCTCAGCATTTCGAGCGCCACTGCGCTGGACATATTCAAGGCGTTGTGGTTCTATCAGGGCATTGCGCTGACTAACCAACACCAGACGGTAATCACCACCCAAGAGACTGCACAACAGATAGCGCGCAAACAGGCCTCGAAAGCGAAGGCGGCTGCCAAGCAACTGGCAACGGCGAAGGCTGCACAGGCGCAGGAGAACGGCGACGGCGATGGCGCGCAGATCAATCTCATACCTAATCCGAATCCCTTTACCACCGAGGACTATGGCGTGGCACTGCTGCACAACACACTCCAACTGATCGATATGCATGCGGAGCTGCTGCTGTCGAAGCGCGAAGTCTCGGAGCTGCGTTTTGAGGAGCTGGAGACAATTGTTAAACGGGATACCCTGCAGCTGCGCTCTGAGATGACGCTCTTCGACTGCCTGGCTGAATGGAGTCTGGCCGAGTGCGGACGCAAGAATCTCGATCCAACGCCAGAGAACAGACGCACGGTTCTGGGGCCACTTTGTCTGACTCCACGCTATCTAAGAATGACCGCCACCGAGTTCAGACGCTGCTGTGAGCGTATCGAGCTACTGCCACCTTTGGAAATTTCGCTGATCAGCGATGCGCTGGAGGGTGAGTAATATATAGTGCCTTTCCGCCTCTCAGATCTGCAACTAATCTCGCTTTGTTGTGTGCAGGCAAGAAGCTTAAAAACCTCACGGATCAGCAGATCGAACTGTTCGAAAAGTTCCGTACAGCAAGGGCCGAGTATGCCAAGATGCCCGTGCATCTGAGCGATCGCAGCGATCCAAAGAACTATCCGAAGAAGATGCGCCAAGCACAGGATGGTCGCTCCACCGAGGAGGGCTGCTGGCAGAAGGTGGGCATGAACTGTCTACGCGTCTTTGTCTGCATTTTCGATTGAAATACGGCCGTTGCCGGCGCCAAATGGCGCTGCCGCCACTCCACATAGACTTGTTGCATAAACGAATATTAGCGCTTATGAATTATAGTCATTTATATAATTATACTTACGTTAGTCTTATGGAGAATTTATACCAGGAGCCGGAACTGGACACATTCTGGATGCAATTGAATGCATGGCAGTGATTTTATAGCAGCAGTTTCTAATTAAATGAATACATACCTAGTGTTACATATACATACATACATATATATTTACTGATATATACTGATATAGGCGAATATAGGCTAATCTGTCAAATCAAGATTGATTGGTTTTTTTATATTTACTTTCTAGTCGAACAAAATTTTATACAACTTTAGGCGTGCTGTGCGCCAAAACCACATTTTGTAGCTGGACTCAACAAACTTAAATAGATAAAATCATAATCATGAAATCACATTTACATACATATGTACATACGAGTACATACATATGTATATGGAGTAGGAATTATTGTTAAGTCAGTCTAAAATCGTACAATTATTAGATACGAGTAATCAAAAATAATTGAACGCCATACTATCATACGAATCGCATCTTCGAATAGTGCAAATTATATAGCCGTTCATGGGGCCATTATATCCCATAGCCATTTAGCCATAGCTGAATTGTTTAGACAAAATTGTTGCAAAGTTACTTATGCTACATATTTTTAATTGTTATGCAATGATTAAATGGAATTTATCAGATGCGTTATATCATTCAAAAAACACTTTAAAGAAAAACAAAAAAAAAAAAAAAAAAAAAAACAAACAAAATATAAACACTTTAAAATCTGTTGCCGTTGCTCGAGTTTTGGCTTTAATGAAGTGCTAGGCAGCATCGCATAGATAACAATCAGAACATAGAATAAATTATAGAACAAAACAGAGATACTGCAAATATAATAAAATTACACAAGAAAAAAATTGTTAACAGAACTATGCATTTTCTTAGTTACAACAAATTACAAACATAGTACATAACTAACAAAATTTCGCCTCAAGCCCTTCATTTTGTTTATGTTGCCAGCTGTTGCGATTGTTTGATCAGCTAAATAAAATTTGGGGGGCTAACATGAAACCAAAGTACGATAGTTAAATAAAGCATGTACACAATTTTCTAAAAATATATGCAAAAATGATGTGTGTTTATTTCTTGCCCCTAATGCAGCTTTAACATGACTTTCCATCAATAGCAGCTCTAAAGCTGTTAAAGAACGCGTGTAACAGCTACTGTTAATGTAAGGCGAACTAAAGCTAACATTGCTCTCGCTGTTAAGCAATGTTAATGTTAAAAAAAGCTCTACGTTTCACTGGGAGTTATTTATAATATTTATGAAACATCAAAGCTGCAAACCATTTAAAAGCTTGGGAGAAAAAGCTATCGAGAATAAGGCAAAAGCTGTAGGTATAAGGTTGGAGGATAGGACTGGCATATTTTCCTATTGCGGTCTTGTATATTATTTGATTAACAATTATATAAAATGCAAAATATTTTTTGTTTTATTTGGTTATTGCTATTTTTGTGTCATTTGTAAAACTGGTATAATGGAGAGGAGAATAGGTATTTGCATTCATATTTTATGTAGCTTTTTTTATTTTTATTATTATTAAATATTATTATGTATCGATCTGCAAATATATGCCATAACATAACATTTTACATATAAACAAGACCAAAGTTTTACAGTTAATATTACATTCTATACATTTGTACATTTATAGTGAAAACATTTCACTATTGGGGTTAGTTAGTCAGATCGGTTGGTTGCTTTCTAATTGGGCGAGCTGAGCAGAGGGGCCTGGCCTGCTATAATGCTAATACATATATATGAAAATAATAAATACTTATATCTCTTTGTGGTTTTTCAAAAATGTTTTAATATAGAACTATACGATTTCTATGATTCGATACAGCTAGAATAAATAAAATGCATTAAATTAAACAAGCTTTTAAATTACATGTGTTCTGAAGAAAAGGGGATAATAACTAATTTATTTAATTATCTAAACTGAGCATTAAAAACAAGAGAGAACGCTACAGTCGAGCAAGCCCGACAATAAAATTGCCTGTACTCTTCACAAAAAAAAAGAAATTAAAAAATAATTAAATTAATAAAAAAAATTGAATTAATTAATTAAATTAATAAAGAAAATTTATTTAATACATACAGAGAAGACATGTGTATGTTCAGTTTTAACAGCATACATTTACACCACGTGTCTATGTGTGTTTATATCCGTGTATGTATGCATCACAAATGTGAAACGAAACAAGAAACAACAACAACAGCTGCGGGCAGAGCTCCAGGCAGCGCATGGACACATAATCACTAACTGGATGTACCTACCAATTCAAAATTTCAATTCCAAGAATCACGGAAGTTATGGCTATATCGATATCGACTTGGCTTGACACCCTGATCAATAATATATATACCTTGTGGGGTCTGCCACGTCTCCTTCTGTGTGTTACATACATTCGCAAAAAACTAGTATAGCCTTTTACCCTTTGGGCACAGGCTATAATAACTGAGCATCTAAAATCTATTTGAAAAGATTGTCAAAGTCGTTGGACAACAATTTTTTTTTTCAAATGCTCAAAGAAATTTAATTATAATTTCTACTTCTGTTTTACATGCACCTAAAACAACAAATTACAGTTTATTACTATTTATATGAATTTTTTATCAATAGCTTTTTAGTTTGCCACTATTTGCACTGATTTCATTGATTGTCGTTTTACGTCTATTATATTTGTTTAATTATGCTTTGTGCCGGCTGTGAATAATGTTTTTACAAGCAAATTTGTGCACAATATTCAATGATCGAAATGTAGAATTTAAATTCAGTTTGTAATAATTGCTGTGATTTTTTCGTAATAATTAAACCACGACTCAATTTATATTATATTGTATATGTGTAATTAAATATGAGCTTAATCACTTTACACTACGCCCGCAGTTTTTCACTTTTTTCATTCGAGTTGGCAGCAATGTTCAATCTAATTTGATTCTGACAGGAATGGTCGATGGCAATTGGGGTCTGTTGTCGATTCCAACTAGAGCGCTTCATAGTTACTTAGTAGCTTACAAATTTGAAGGCAACCGCAACTGCATGCAGCTGCAAAGGCTAGACTGTATGGTCCGACTTCCTTTGGCTCACACGCATATTAGTGTAGCATACATTTCGGAGCCCACATTGGGGGCACCACAAATGCACTCTGCGAGCTCATCAGACTGGCCACACATGTGCACACAAATGCAGAACACACACACACAATCGTGTACAAAAATTTATAGAGATAGTAGCAGCAGCCACAAAGCGCTGCAAAATTTATGATTTTATTTCACGCTTGCTTTTCATTAATGTCTTTTTTGCCACCCGCATTTACATTTTTCGTTGTTTCTTCCTACAAATTTTAACTTGCATTTTTGCTGATGTTGTTGCTGTTGTTTGCTGTTTGCTGTTGTTTTTGTTACCATTACGGTTTCCTTTAGCTGTCTGCCGCTTGTTAACCTTTTTCAAGTTGGCTTTTTTATATGTATACTCTTTAGTTTCAATGTAAAAGCTTATTACATTTGACATGAAAGTTGGTCAATTTTATAAGTTTTATGTAATAAAAAAAACTTCAATAATTTGTGTAATCCAAGCCCGTTGATAAAATACCTATGTATTTTAGAAATATGTAAGTCTTAATCTTTTCAAATAAATTTGATTTTCTTTTTTTTTAATTTTATGTATTTTTTATATAGTTATTAACTTATAAGAACTTAGTAAGTAAATAAAATAATTAAGGCAATAACAAATTGAGTTTGGCCAAACAGATAGCCAATAAATTATTTAAGGTATGTATTTATGTATGTACGAGTATTAGTTTATTACAAAATCTTTAGATACATAATAAGTTCGATGGGAGATATCTGCAAAATAAAACAATAACATAGGATTTAATAAGCTTTAATTGCAAATAAAATGAAACAATTTTATGAAAGTTTCTTCATTGCGCAAAAATGAATTTTTAATTCATTTTTACATGGAAGAGTATGCACATGCCTTGAGCTGAGTGCTTAGATTTTTCTTTCCTAATTTGAGCCGCATTTAGTTGTTGTTGTTTCTCGTAGACACGACATGATGTGCCCAGCACCCTAGAGTCAAATTTCCGCAAAAGTTATGCAGCAGTCGCATGGTAGAGTAAATTTTTGCACTGGCTAAGCGAAAAGCAAATTGCAGCGGGGGGAATTGCGGTGTAAAAGAGGTGGCCTTTCCAATGTGGTAAGGAAGGGAGGACACAGAAGGACCGGGCAGGTTGCTAGCTTGATACTGCACTGCCCGCAGGCAAGCCGACGCGCCTCTGTTGACCGCATATATAATTATTTTATATGAAACATGCATGCCTTGCTCAAGCAACAGCAACTCACGAGTATACATATATAAGTATATTGTACATATGAACGTGTGTGTGTGTAAGCCTGTGGTTTTCAAAAAAGTAGAAAAAATTCAGCAAAAGTGAATTAGTGCCGGGCGAGTGTTGGAAGGTTGAGGAGCGAGTGAGAGAAAGCTGCAATGCAGTTGTACGTTTTTGGCCTTTGCCGCTGCCTAATGAAAATTGTTGTGATATAAATCATTTTAAATAATTTTCATTTGGCCAGCCAACGTGTGTGTGTGTGTGTTTGTGTGTCTGTGTGGCTAGGATGTTTGTGTGCATTGGTTAGTTAGCTTTAAAAGTTTAAATTGAAATAAAGCCAAGTAGATGCATCTACTTTGTTGTTACTTCAGCCGTCTGAACTTTTTTGCTTGCTAAATTGTGCTAACTGACCAAAGCGGAAGTTTCAATTACAGACACACACACACACACACATTAGCACACACACTGTTAGGTGAGGCCAGGTCAGACACACACACAGGCAAGGCCATTTGCATATACTATATAGCACACATCTGTGTAGCACACACTGAGTCGCTTACTTTGGTCATTCGAACAAACAGCATTGGCCTGCAGCTGGGAGGACGCTGCGGATACTTAATATGATACATACGAATTATGTGCAATTGAATTGCATGGTGTGTGTGAGAGCTGGGGGCGGGTGGATGCACCTTAAAATTATGGCTCAAAGTTCGTCCATTACTTGCAGTCCAGCGAAAGTCAAGACCGAGGAGACTGCGGTATTCTGGAGCGGACGGAGTGACGGACGAGGCAAACGACTTTTCCACTAGCTGCGGAAAAATGTACCTAAAGCGGATATTACTTTATCAAGCGGCATAAAAAATGAGGCAGCAAGACAGAGGAAGGCAGAGGGTGGCAAGACAGCTCCAGGAGGCAGCTTCTGGCCGCCAGTAAGTAACAGGCGAAATGGCAAAAAAACGGAAGCAATCAGCGAAATTTATTGTGAGTCTCCTTTTTGGCGTAACTGATGAAGTGAGAAGTTGAAAGACAGCAGCAGCATCAGTTATAGCAGTAGAGGGAGGGGGCGAGACACAGCGGTCGCATCCGACCAGCCAATACAAATGAAGCGGCGTGGCGAAAGAGCGCAGAGGCAAGGCAACGACAGATGTTGCCTCTCTTGCCACCTCTGCCACTAACTGAATGCCGACTGCCTAGTGAGCGATGAAGCAACTGTGCGACTCCATTTCCATCTCTATCTCCATCTACTTACAGCTCATGCCGACGCTGCTGCTGCAGTCTTCATCACACTGATGGAAAAAATTAGTTTCAATAATGAGTTCGCATTACTTACTTATATATTAACTATGGGTATTACCCACAGTAACTAATATACAAATGAAATATTAAATATTTATCTATAAACGTACATGCATTTAGTTAATCCCAGTGTGAGGAGATTGTTCAGAAATCATTTCACGTTCCTTTACCAGTTTAAAGAAAACAGAACTCCACTTTAATGAACTACAGCATTGGTTTACAAGTTTTTGAATGAAAATTAATAATATATTCCACTTACATATGTGGCGAGAAAGCTTAGACTACAATTGCAACGTATTAATTAATTGTTATTTAACTAGCCACTGATTGAAGCAAAGGAGCAATAATTAGATTTATTTATATACTGACTAGTTGTATATTACAAAAGCTGTCGATGTAAAAAAGAAATACACCATTACAGTAAATAATAAACTACAAGTAAATAAAACTAAAGAGAAAAAAGCCTATAGAAGTTACAAGAATATCTAACAGCGAATACGACTCGGTAGGGGAATTTTATTTGCCAAACGGCCAGCTATTCCCCGATTCACAGCAGAGTTATTAGACCTAAAGAAAAAAGAAGAATGAAGATGAAGAAATAGCAATAAAAATTAAGAAGATTAAATCATCCAAAGCTATTGCAGATTGCTGAAAAATGTGTTTCCTGGTTGGAGAAAACAAAAATAGAAAAACTAAGAAAGCAAAATGAATTTGAAGAAAGCAGCACATATTTAACTAAAATATTTAATTGTTGTTAAAGTGCAAAGCATACTTAAGATATTTAAAATGATTTGATTTCAAAAAACCAAGCATGGCAGAAATAGCAAGTATTCGTCTTGTGATTTCGCCACTTAGGCTACACTTTATTTTATATTCATGATTTTGGAGCAGTGTAGCATCTACGATTTTGTTGTTGCTTCTTTGTGGTGTGGTTTTTATTGCTTTATTTTTGTGCTTTTAGCTGCGAACGCTTAAATCTGAGAACCAGTTGGAAATGTACTTATAGACCGCTTACAAGCAGCCGACGCGACTTTCTCGCACATACACGTACACACGCACACTTGTGCATAGTTATTTGGGGGTTTTGCCATTTGCATGCAAATGTTGCAACGGAAATGAAACCGACAATGCCACTTATTTATCTTTCTGCTTGCGGCTCTGATTTGCTTTACCGCCTTTTTGGGCATTCAGCTACTTAATGATGTTGTTGTTGTCATTGCTGTTGTTTTTGCTGCAGCTATTTCTGCTATCGCTTTTAATTTTGTTAACGCGTGCGAAATTTATGAAAAAACACTAGTCGTGTTTACACAGGCTGTGCTCATAAATAATAATTACAATAAAATGCGCTTAGCACTAACGAAAACAATCAACAGCAAAATGAAATTACTTATTTATAAAAAGTTGTTGCCAATTAAAATTTATAACCATTTGCAATAAATAATTGCAGGCGAAGCCGTTTCTCAACTTTAAAATGATTCCCGATCTATGAAAAACGTCGCTATAAATGAAAATGTAGAGTGAAAAAATGAAGAAATTATGTGCCACGGAAATGAAAAAGCAAATGAAAAGGGAGAGTATAAAATGAAAACAACAACGCATTCTGAGAGGGAGACAGGAAGAAGAGCTATGAAGAAATAAAGTCGTATAAAAATATTCATTGATTTTCTTAATTAAAAAATTTTGCCATTAACTTTTATGTTTATTAGCTTGACTTTGGTATTTCTTGTTGCTGTTGCTGTTGTTTTCACTCTTAAGCTCATTTCAAAATGTTGGTGTGTGTAATGTTGTTGTTGTTGTTGCTGTTGCTTATGTTGCTGTAGTCCTTGTTGCAAAAGAGGTTGTTGTTGTTGGTGCTGTTTTGTTGTAGTTAAGCGTAGTTCGCTGTAGGTTAAGTTGGTCGCCCATTGTCGTCGAGCATTTCCTGCGCGCATTATAAAACTAATTGCAGATTATGACGAAATCGTGCGGGGTGAGCGGTTCGTAATGCCGGCTGGCAATATGGCGACGACGGAGCACCGCCCCTCCTCCTCGGTTACCCTCCTGCTCAATTGCCATCGCCATGAGAGTCGCTTTCTCAGCCTCCACCGCTTGAGCACCAGCCTCAGCCTCAGCCTCAGCTTCAGCCTGAGCACTTAAGTTTGTTTTGAAAATTAAAGCCTGTTAATGAGATTTCATTTCACTGAAGGCACAACTCAGTGACTCAGTCGCGGCATTTTCCGTTGACGCTGCCGCTGCCGATGCCGCTGCCATTGCCAGTAATGGCGCGTAATTGACAACGTAATGAGATTTGTTAAACGGATTGTTTGCAAAATCATTTCTAATTACCAAAAAGTTCCAATTATGCGCGTGGCGTGTTGCGCGCACATTTTTGCAAATGCTTCATACATGTCTGTATGTGTATGTGTGTGTGTGTGTCCAAAGTGTTGCATAAAATTTGATTGCATTTTGTTGCTGCTGCTACTCAGGCCTTTGTGTTGTTGTCAATTATGCAGCCCTTAAATTCAAGCCGAACGTAAACAAACATTTGTTGGCAACAGCACAGCAGCCAGAACTGCAACTCACAACTTACAACTTGGCCAAGTAGCAGCAGCAACAACACACACAACAACAACAGCAACAACAACAAACTACACAGTAGGTCAGTTACAACGCACAAAAGACAACGAGTAACTGGTGACTGGTATGCAGACGAGAGAGCAAACAAGTGCGAGAGAATGGGAGCAGCTGGTGCGTGAGCAATATTCATTTTTAGTACAATGAGCACAGCATCCCTAGTGGTATACGCGCGCTCTCTCTCTCTTATCCGCTGGCTTTGTAACTCGGCAACAAAGCTACAAAAATCTGTGTGTGCCCGACCACAGTGCATTACTGACAAGCCCAGACGCCTTTAGTGCTGATTACAACGCGTTGCCGTCTGGTTGAGTTGCGCTCGTAGGCAGACTTGACAGTTACAGTTACAGTTACTTGAGCTACTAGCGTTATCGCGTCTCTGCTTCGGTTGCACTCCAGTCGAAGGCGAGTGTACGTGTATGTGTTGGACGGACATGTGTGCGTGTCTTCACGAAGTTAAAGTCAACAGACATTTGATTTGATTTAATGTGCGCACAAAGTCAAAGCGTGTGTGAGTGTGTGTGTGTGTGCGTGCGTGCGTGTGTACATGTATGAGGGAAGTGGTGGCCAGCTTCTTTCTTAGACGCAATTTGTTTTACTTGTGCCCAAGTGAGTGCATGTGTGTGTGTGTATGTACATATGTCAGATACTACGAATGTATTTACAAAGGAAAATCTCGAGCAAAAGTCTGGGAAAATTAACAAAGTAAAATTACAGCAAAATATTTACATTGTTCAATTAAATTTCAATATAAAAGAAAACCACCATCATGCCAAGCAACACGAGCACTGCTACTCCTGCACGCAGGCAACAGTATTTTTCAAAATTAACCACAAGTTGAACTTCACATAACATATTGAAAAAAAGAACACTTTAATAGCAAATATTTCAATATTAGTTCAATTAAGCACAATAAACACAATATACCTATTTGTGCAATAACGTGAACGAAACTGCAACACCAGCAAAGGCAACATCAGAAAGTTCAAGTGGAAACTACACGGCGCACACGAGCAAACAAACGCAGTCGCACACTAACCTGCTCACTCACTTACTTACAACGCTAGAAATTGTTACACAAAATGCATTCGAGGCTAAAATTCTTGGCATATTTACATTTAATATGCGCCGGCAGCATTTGCTCGTTGGAATTTAGCGCAGCACAACAGCAGCAGCAGCAGCAACAACAACAACAGCAGCAGCAACAGCAATACTACCAACAACAACAGTTGCAACAACAATCAGCATCGTTAACCGAGAAAATACCATTAGGTGAGTCTCAAAAGCATTGCCGGCAGTTGTCGCTAGTATTTTCAGTTTCCGTGGATTTTGCACAGAAATTTCAGTTTTTTCTTTTTCTGTGTGTGTGTGTGTGTATGTGAATTGTAGTATATACTACTCGTATATGTACATATGTTGAATATATTCTTTATTTTTGTTGCATTTTTTGTTGCCAGCGTCGCTGTTTGTGCTTTATTTTTATTATGCACTGGTGCTTATTTTGAACACAGAGACGTGCAGGCTCCTCAGTCACTGCACCTGCAGTCATTTTGCCACGCCCCTTTGTGTGGCATGCAGCAGCCGGTGCTCACATTTGCTAATGTGACAGTCATGCTGCTTTACACTGACACCTGCCGCCTCCCTCACCACCTGTCTGCCCACTTCGCTGAAAAGCGCAACACAAAATTGCTGCATCAACACTTCGTTTGCTCTCTTTCCCTTTCCTTTTTCCCTTTTTCTTTTTGTATTATTTTTTACGCTTGAGAAGTGCCGCCTTTTGCATGCCAGGCGTTCTAGAGATGGGCAAGAACCGGGTCTGATGTCGCAAAAACAGAACTCAATTTATTATCCTTGTAATAAATTATTTATAAAAAGCAAAACAGTTTTCAAATTATATTAAAGAAAACTTATTTGCTTTGAATATCTATGCATAGTAGTTGAGATATAAATAAATAATGTATGTAATAAGTGACTATGACAATTCGAGATTAGTTTGAATATTCCGTTGTAAATTTTATATAAATATTTAGTGTTTGTGTGGGACAATGTTAAATAAATTTTTAATTATTTAGATGTTGTACACGAAAACATTAGCTCCACATAAAAGCCGAAATAAATAACTTATGTATTTAGTTCCTGTTCACCAATCATAAAAACATGCAAATTTTCTGGGTGGAAACGGATATAATTCTAAAATTAAGATATGTTAATGTCATTAATTGTGTGTTGTTAAAAGTTTAATTATTTTAAAATTTAATTTATAAATTTATAAAAGAAAAACCATATAGTTTTAAGGCCATTTTGATTTTTACCAATATACAGCTTTTGAATCTTTAAAGATAAATAAAAATAAATATAAATCTTTTGAGATTAAAATGAAAACGAAAACCCGAACTCATTAATTTAGAAGGCATTTTTCAAAAATAAAATGAAATCTGCTACACTCAGGCATGTAGTTTTCACAAAAACTCCTCTAAATGTTAACTATTTGTTGGAGGAGAATAGTTTATAAGTAATGAAATTATTTGAAGTGTTAAACCACATGGCTGTTAACAGTAACATCGATGTTAAAACCCGCGTATTAACATAACACTGGAGTTGCTGTAGCCTGAGCACATTCCAGTACAGCACACTACCTGCATAACAGAACTGATACCATTTTGATGTTAATACATTCCTATTCACATAGCACTGGACGTACTGTAGTGTGAGCATATTTCTGCTAATACAGTACTCAGCTGCTAGCGCTATGGCGGCAAGACACGTCGTATGAGCTGAAAACTTAACACCATTACATATGGAATGTCAGCAGCTCCATTTCTTGCCATAAGAAGCATTCATAACATCGCGGACTTATACGAGTCTGAGTACCCTGTAGGTGCTGCTACATTGCGCAGCGACTTATACGTGGACGATGTTCTCACGGGTGCAGACGGGCTATCCAAATTACAAGAGAAAAAGAATGAAACGGTAAAGATCCTTTCTGAAGCAGGATTACAACTCACAAAATTCAGCAGCAATTCAACAGACATTGTACGAACGTCTGAAAACGAAGTTTTTATTGCGCTTTAGGATCAAGATGTTACGAAAACACTTGGAGTGGCACGGCAATCTCGTCGTGATGTATTCGTATTTCGTTACGGATAGCAGGAAAATGAACCAATTACCAAACGCAATATTCTTTCACGAATCGCTCGAACCTTCGATCTTCTAGGGTTCATCAGCCAAGACCTTATACGGTGTAAAATTCTACTTCAAGATTTGACTTTAAAGGGGCTCTATTGGGACATTCCTGTTGATGGAATTCTGCGAGAAAGATGGATGGACTTGCTTGATGATCTGAAAGATCTAGCCAAGTTGGAAATTCCACGATATGTTTTCAGATCTCCGACGCATCGCTATGAAAAACATGGACTCGCAGACGCTTCTGAAAGAGCATACGATTGCTGCATATATGTTTTTTAAATTAAACATTCACAGTTTACTTTAAAAATTCTGTAATTTTTAACTGCCCGCCTAGAGAACTACAATATAATATTAGTTATGCTTATTTCCTGCTTATTTTCCTGCTCGTTTTAAACTCAATGTGTCACGATGAACACAGCCCCGAAAAATTAAACATGATTCCGGCCCATCTCTAGGATCCCACTTGACTGCTTGCATCTGTGTGCCTATGTGTGTCTCTGTGTGTGTGTCTGTGACATTATGCTATCATTTGTGCAAATATTTATTCTCGTCTTGCATGTTTTTCGTTTAATATTAACAGTCTGTGTCAAAAGTTGCCTTAATATTTAATGAGGGGATTGGAGTGGGACAATAAAAGTGCATACAAAAAGTTTGCAAAAAGTATGTGCTTAATACTTATTTATTTTTTTCATCTTCTTCTTCTTGTTCTTCTTTTTGTGCCTTGTCGCTATTTCCCACAGGCGCCATATTCGAACAGGGGACGGATGATGTGCAGTCAGCCTTTAAATATGCAATGCTCAATCACAATCTCAATGTTACATCGCGTCGCTTTGAATTGCAGGCGTACGTTGATGTCATCAATACGGCGGATGCATTCAAATTATCACGCTTGAGTGAGTTGCCAACGCTTCAAAAGAACACACACTAAGTACATACTATACATACATACACACACACACACATATAGATTATGCCACGCCCCACATTACAGCACGAAAGCAATTACAAGAGCAAAAAAACCAAACAAAGCAAAACAAAACAGAATAGAACAAATCGGGCGACAGTCGCATCTGAGCGCCAATTTATCCTTGCATCGATATCTATCTATGTATCTATCTATCTATGTATCTAGACAGTAAGAGTACACGCTCTCAACTGTCGCTTTATATTGTATATTCTGTTGTTCAGTTTCCATTAATTATGCGCATTTTTATTGAAAATTGGTTTCACTTTGCAACCCTTACCAATCAGTCCTTCACATCCCACACCATCCGCTCTACTACTCCAGAGTATCGGGATATCGGTGAACGGCAGCCATTGCCAACATTTAATTGTGCACATTTATTTCAATGATCTATTTCTCCCCGTTTAATTTTGCATCTTTTTCAACCACGCTCTACGCGCCTCGACCGACCTAGACACATCCACCAAATCAACCACCCAGCCACCCAGCCACCCAACCACTACATAATCATCGTACAACCTCATCACACTCCTCCACACAGGGCCACGGCCACAATTCTTTTAGTTCACCTACTCGCACTCCATTTTGTAACTGTTGCTCCACTTCTCGAAATTTATTGCCGTAACTGCAGTCTGCAATCAATTTTCGCGAGGCGTTTACTCAATGCTGGGCGCCGTATCGCCGGACTCCTTTGACACATTGCACTCCTATTCGAATACGTTTCAGATGCCATTTGTGACGCCCTGGTTTCCCGAAAAGGTAAGTGTTTGTTGTTCAAAAGCCAAACATACACACACACACACACAGACCCATACTCCCAATATTCCCAATACTCCACACGTACGTAATATAATTGATTTTTATGTGCTGCTATTTAGGGTTTCGGATGGTTGTGTGTGAGTGTGTAAGTGTGCGAGGGAGATAGAGATAACCTGTATTTGGTGTGGGGTGTGTAGCTTAATTAAATCAGTTTGGCAACCAGCCCTTGTCTAATGGAGCTGAAAAGGTTATTAATGAATAAAATAACATTAAAGTAAGTTAAATGAACTTAATTGAGGGTTGAAGGGTTGAAACATTTAAAAATAAAATGTTAAATTGCAGTATTTAAGTAGTAAGTCAAGTTGATAATGCTACTTTAAAAAGAGTTTAAACATTTTCAAAAGTTTTGAGTATTTCCTTTTTAAATGTTTATGTATTGGGAAGTCTTTCCATTAAATGGTATTTCCCCCGCACTTCTCGATTTTCGACTTTGATTTGACTAAATGAAGCATTGCAATACCTTTTATGTATAAGCGATGATTTGGAATTCAATCAAGTAACACATTTTTTAACGTGAACATTAGGCATAATGAGGGAATATTTTTGAAGCAATTATAATAGAATGATTAATAGATAATAGCTGCATAAAACCCTTTTCAGAATACTAATCGAATTAAATGCTGAAGTAAATAGCTGTGCTGTTGACCAGTTTTAAAATCTTTTCGTTTTGCTTGCATCTAGGGGCATCTTAATTTAAATAATTATATATTTTGTGTACGCCTGCAGAATACTACTACTTGTATTTGACATTCGTAAGTTAAGCTTCTTAAAGTCCGCCAGATATTTTCCAAAACTGTCGAAAGCAATGTCCTTGCTGTTTTATTTTTAAATATGCTGCTCCCGCCAACCTATACATAAATAATTGTTTCGTATTGGACTCAATATGTTTAGTAATTAGTCTAAGTAGTGGCGATATAGCTTTGTTCTAATAACATAGCTTTGTTGAAATCGTTTATTCAAATATTCGTGGCTCTCATGCAGGCTTATCTAAGTATCAGCAACTAATTTAATAGCCCGATGAGGATTTAATAACGTAGGATCTCAATTATTTAGCTATTCTCTGCACTTTTACGGCATTAAGTTCGCATATTAAAAACATTTTCTGCCCATATTCGCCATATGCTGAGTGGCCATAATTGCTGCTCAAACGCTCCGACCAGTTTAATGTTCGACCATTTTGTCAAGTTTATAAAAATAAAGCCATGCTCGTATAAAATGACTCGTCAGCCACTTCCTCTTGTTGTTGTTTAAGTTGTTGTTGTTGTTGATGCTGCTGGTGCTGCTGCCGCTGCCGCTGCCGCCAGACGTTCACTAAATCAAAGCCAAAGCACAAATCATAATAATTGTAATTTGAAGAAAATTTACTACCAACAAACAGAAGGCAGTGTTGTTGTTGCAGCTGTTGTTGTCACTGTTGCGGGCAAGAGAGACTCTGAGGCTGAGACCGAGTCTGAACGGAGAAGCCCAACAGTGTCGCACACACTTCTGAAAACAAAAAGCCAAACAAACAACCAAACAACCAAAGCCGGAAGACAATATCAAAAGCGAGAGAGGGAGCGGCCGGGCAGCCGAACGAGTGCAAAAAAATTTATGACGCGCTCTTGGCCTCTTTTATTTCAATCACTATAAATCAAGATATGGCGGGGAGGCTAAGGGAGCAGCAGCGGCAGTCATAGGAGCAGCACCAGCAGCAGCAATAACAACAACAATGAGAAGAACACTCGCATAACAGACTGCGCACTTGTGTGTCAGGCTGAGTGTGTGCTCTATAACTGTGTGCGTGTGTGTGTGTGTGTGTGTGCGCGCACTCGAGCTTGTTGTTACAGCTAAGCGGAAACGGGACTTTGTGTATCTCGCACATATCTCGATGTATCCTCCATATATGGACTTACGGCTCGCCTCGCCTCGCCTCCTTCTGCCCTGTTCTGTTCAGTGCTGCTTCGTGTTGAGGCAGGCCGGAATGGCATTGCGAGTGGCAGGCAGAGGTGGCATTGAGGGAGTTGCGGGGATTGTAGACAAGCGGAAACGCGTTTCATTTTATTATTGCTTCATGTAGCGTACACATTACATTGTTATCCCCCCCCTCTCAACACCCTTCTCACACACAACCACCGTTACTCTGTTACTCTTTCTAATGTGTGCGTGCGTTTGTGCTTGTTGCTATTGTTTTGCATACTTTTAGGTGCTTACACCGTCGTCGGGTCTGCTCGATTTCGCTATCAGCATGCGTCCGGATTATCATCAGGCGATTATTGATACTATACAGTACTATGGCTGGCATAGCATAATATATCTCTATGATTCCCATGATGGTGAGTACAAAATACAAACACACTCCCCCTCTCTGTCTTTCTCTCCCTTTCTCTTACTTTTCTGCTTGTAGGCATTAAAATCGCTTGCGTGTGTGTGTGTGTGTGTGTGTGTGTGCGTGCACGCGCCTAAATCTAGGCCACACATTATGCATATCTTTTTGTTGCCATAGCTATAGCTGTTTTTCTTTTGTTGTTGCTTTTGTGGCGTTGTTAATGTTTACTGTTTTGATTTGATTTCGTTTTCATTTGGATTTGTCTTTGGCTTTGGCTTTCATGAGCTAATTAAACGGAGCGAATTGTGCATGGTGGTGGCCAGAATTTCAACTTTATTAGCAGACGCGTTGAGATGGAATGGGCAGAGTCGAGACAAGTCATGACTTTTTTTGATATCCAAAGCGTAGCTCATTGACTGCAGAATCGTGTGTGCGATTGTGTGTGTATCTGGGTCCGTGTTTGCGCCTGCCGATTAAATACCAACAGGGCAGATTTGCAAATGTAATGAAATTTCGACCCAAACATTATCATCAAAGACTGGAAATTCGGTTGCTAGTTGCATAAATTTGCTCACAATTAGGTGTGAACAGCTGATCACAGAACATATAAAGCCGGCTATTTTTACTAATACATATGTAATTAAATAAACAGCTACAGCAACAAAACAAAAAGTGGAAATATACATACTAGCAGAGGGCTTAACGCACCACTGAGCCTCAAGTGTTTAGCCAGCTTAAGGCTCACGACCCATGAATATATTCATTTTAACTTACAGTGGACATTGCATAAAATGATTCCGATTATACTTTGCTTGAAAACGAAAACAAAGAGTATCAATACGTTACAAATTAGAAACACACTTTGTATCTTATTAAGAAGCTGAGCTTTTCATTGTTAACTAATTATAGAAACACAAAAATGAATAAGAAAATGTTTACGAATATATGAAATGAATAATATCAAATTTATAAAGTGTTAACTGAGGATTACTTTTACTTTTCTGTCTTTTATTTTCACTTTCAAAGCTCGCTAAATATATAATGTAGTTTGTACTATATTATTTATTGAATAACATTTCAAAGCAGGCGCATTAGGAATATAATGTTAAACAAATTCGTTGAACTTGGATTTAATTTCTCTTGTCTTGTTTCCTCTTCTTTTAGCAGAGTTTCACTGTCTGGTATCGTTTGTCTGTCTCGAGTGCCTAATGTGTGTTGGGCTGCGTTCTTTTTGTTGTGTTAAAATTTATTTCAAAGCAATTTCCGCCCATCTGCGTGCATGTGAGTGTGTGAGTGTGTGTGTGTGTGCGTGTGTGCGTGTGCTTGTGTGGCAACGGTGCCAGAAGTAGCAACAATTACGGCCAAAGATGAAGACATCAAGCGAATGGCAAGGCAAAGGCAACGGCAACGGCAAAGGCAATGCCAAAAGACACGACACGACATTTTTAAGTTGTATAAAATTACGCACACACGCGTGCTCCTTGTGTGTGTGCGTGTGTGTGTGTGTGGGTGTGTTAGCGTGTGCGTTGAGTGCACATAATGGTGGCAGTAATAACAGACACGAGCCACCGCGCTTCGTTCGCATTGCAAAATTCATATAATATTACGTATACGCCGCAGTGATTTTCTTAATTTTTTTTAAAACATTTTTTATATTGTTCCGCTGTCGTCGTCGTCGTCGTCGTCGCCGCCTTTTTGTGCTACTTTTTCTTTTGTGTAATGAGTTCACACGCTGTCGTAATGGCTGCCTTCATGTGGGGCTGTGTATGTGCATGTGTGTTTGTGTGTGTGTGCAAGCGTGTGTGTCATGTGTTAATGACTCTGTGTGAAATAAAATTTATGACTTTATGCAACTGCTGCTCATTCTGCTGACTGCCTTAACAATTTTTCTCGTACTTCGTCCTTTTTTTTGTCCATTTCTTTCGTTTTTTTTTTGTTGGTGTATTTTAATATTTTTCCCCACTTGGTTTTTGTGCTGCTCACTGCTGGTTGCTCACGAAAAGTAGGCCGACATTGTTGCCGTTGGCATTGGCAAATATAAGTGTGCGAAGTAGGAAAAGGAAACGCCGCACAGCAGCTTGTGCCATATTCCTGTTGCTGTTGTTATTTTTGCCTTTGCCCGCTATTGTTGTTGCTGTTGCCGTTTTGGCCGACTTCAGCTCTTTTGGGGTGCGCTCAATACGCCTGCCGTTTACATTGTTAACGAAAAATATATATATACTCGTATATATGTATGTATGTGAATAAAAGGGCCAACAGACAAACACACACAACACACACACACAGCGAGTTTATATTTTAATGCCGCTGTCAGCAGTTTGTTGTTATTGCTTTGTTCTACCCCTTGTTGCCGGTTTTTTTTTGTGTGTGAGCGTGCTTCCACGGCTGCTTCAGCGTGCAACGTACGGCGACAAATTGGTAGCATATTTTTCGGCGCATTCATGAATACAAAAGTGTGCCGCTATAGGAGATAGGAGCGAGAGATAGGAGTGAAGGAAAAAAGCATAGGAAACATTCAATAAAACATCATCGAAAGAGCGACAGCCCTGGCGCACAAGTCACACAAACAAACAAACAAACAAACAAACAAACAAACAAACAAACAAACAAACAAACAAACTGACAAACAGACAGACAGAGCAGCAAACCAACAAATAGGAAGCAAGGCACGCACATTTTTTCGAGGCTACCGCTATTTATTGAAATGTTACAAAACGCAGCTCTACCAACCAACTAACCAAAGCAACCAACAAAAATGGGTGTGTGTGTGTTTTACAATTGTCTGTGCACTTCCGTTTCCGCTTTGCCTTTATGTGTACTGCTCTTGATGTTGCTGTTGTTATTGCTTTTGCCAGTTTTCTGTGGCATTGCCAGCAAATCATGCAGCCAGAAATCAATGACAACAACGTGCAACAAATGGTGTGTGAAAATAATTTTTTGTGCGCGTGACTCCCTTCTTCCCGCTGCCTGCAACACTGCCACACTGCCACACTGTGTAGATGTGACAAATTCATGGAACTGCCTGCTCACCCGACAAAAGCCCGTCAAGTGACACAAAGAATGGGTCATTGCTCAAACTAATGTCTTGTTAATGATATGCAATATTCCACATTGGTAGGCAGGCAGTCAAATAGGGAGATATATGTATATATGTGTATAGTATGCATGCGTAATCTTTTATTGAATGACATGACTTGTTAACAGCAGGATAACACAGCCACCGGCAGAATAAAACACAATGACTCGGCGTTCACACTCGAACATGAGGTGTGCGCAACAGCGTCGAGAAAGTCATACTCGTATGTAAAATAAATATTTGCTAATGCGGAATATCAACAGTTAGTGGTTTAGAAGAATAGATAGCATTTCTACTTAATACTGCGTTCATTGTTGAGGCGTTTAATAAGCCCTGCATGATTATTTATTCATTGTGTGCTAAAAAATCAAAAAATTTTTTTCAAACCAACCCAACATTAATTTGAGCGAATTTAAAGCACTTCAGTAGAAAACATGTTTCTGAAGCTCACATTTTCTATCCTAGATATTTATTGTAGAGGAATTTATAAATGCTTCGTGGTAGCAGCATCCTGGTTTCTTCGCTTTGATCTCATGCTTTGATTAATATATGTATTTATTAGGTTATCTATTTCGTTTTCATTTTGGTATTTATTTCATTTCCTGTTCTGCTTTCATCATACGGTCGTGTGTTGAATTGTTTGCCTGAGGAATCATTTAAGTCCATCATGCGTTCACAATTCAATAGAGTATTCGTTTCCTTGTCGGCTGTTAGGTGCTTGGCTGCCTGCGACTGAATGTTGGCTGATGTTAGCCGCATGGACAACCACATATTTTGATGGTCTTTGTTTTATTTGTGTTTTGCCGTATTCCGTTTCTGACACCGAATATCCGAGTTTCCGTACATATTCATTCGTTCACAGGCTTGCTACGGCTGCAGCAAATCTATCAAGAACTGAAGCCCGGAAATGAAACATTTCGCGTGCAAATGGTCAAACGGATCGCCAATGTAACAATGGCCATTGAGTTTTTGCACACGCTCGAGGATTTGGGGCGCTTCAGCAAAAAGCGCATCGTGCTCGACTGCCCGGCGGAAATGGCCAAAGAGATCATTGTCCAGCATGTGCGAGACATAAAGCTGGGACGGCGTACCTATCATTACTTGCTCAGCGGGCTGGTGAGTAGTTGGCTCTGTGAGTGGGTCTCTGGGTGTGGGTCTCGATGTTTCCCTTGGGGTTTTAATAAGCAATTATTACTCGATTCCGCTGTGTGGCGACCACAACAATAACAACAATACCACCAGCTGAATACTGACATGTTTTTATCTTTTTCTACACCACCTCCCCCCCCCCCCCCATGTGACCCGGCACAGGTCATGGACAACCATTGGCCCAGTGATGTGATTGAATTCGGGGCCATCAACATCACGGGTTTTCGCATTGTCGACACTAATCGGCGAGCCGTGCGTGATTTTCATGACAGCCGGAAACGTTTGGAGCCGGCAAGTGGCGTAGGAACAGCAGGCGGGGGAAATGCCGGCGGCAGCAGCGGTAACGTGGCTGCAATTTCGGTAAATGTTTGAGGCAGTTGTTGACAGACGGCGACATGCAGCGACACTTAAACACCCTTTACCCCTACCCTCCTTTCACACCAATACATTCACCTCTACAGGCACAGGCAGCACTCATGTATGATGCCGTTTTCGTTCTGGTCGAGGCCTTTAACCGGATTTTGCGCAAGAAGCCGGACCAGTTTCGTGCCAATCATCTGCAGCGGCGTAGTCATGGCTCATCATCTGCCTCCACCATGGCTCTGAATGAATCAACAGCGCTGCTGGACTGCAACACATCGAAGGGTTGGGTCACGCCTTGGGAGCAGGGCGACAAGATATCACGTGTGCTGCGCAAGGTAACATCCTCTGCCCATGCTTGTGCTCATTTAAATTGCACACCTACCCTGCAGGTGGAGATCGAGGGGCTGACCGGTGAGATTCGTTTCGATGACGACGGGCGTCGCATCAACTATACGCTGCAGGTGGTGGAAATGTCGGTGAACAGCACTTTGCAGCAAGTGGCTGAGTGGAGGGACGATGTGGGCCTGCTGCCCTTGCATGGGTATCGCTACAGTTCCACACGTTCGATGTCGTCCAGCTCGGCAGACTATGCCCGCAATCACACGTACATAGTGACCAGTGTGCTGGAGGAACCCTACCTTATGCACAAGCAGGCGAACTATGGGGAACAGTTGGCGGGCAATGATCGCTTTGAGGGCTACTGCAAGGATTTGGCAGAGCTGTTGGCCAATAAGCTGGGCATACGGTGTAAGTAGTAGTGTGGGGGTATCCACAACCCCGGAAATTCTATAGCTTAAATGCTCCTTGCAGTCGAGCTGCGACTCGTCCAAGATGGCAGCTATGGCGCTGAAAATCAATACGCCCCTGGAGGCTGGGATGGCATGGTGGGTGAGCTGGTGCGAAAGGTAAGCTCAAGGCTGGTGCAGTCATTACTTCATTGTTTCAGGTTATCAATTGAATTACAACCGCTTCTCTCGCCCTCCTTCTCCCTCTCTTCTGTGCTCCCTCTTATAGGAGGCGGACATTGCCATAGCAGCGATGACCATAACTGCAGAGCGCGAACGCGTTATTGATTTTAGCAAACCTTTCATGTCGCTGGGCATATCCATTATGATCAAGAAGCCTGTGAAGCAAACTCCCGGTGTTTTTAGTTTCCTCAACCCACTCTCCCAGGAGATTTGGGTAAGTTTCATTTACCAGCGACATTCCCCAATGCATAGTGCTCACTTCTCCATTGCAGATGAGTGTTATTCTGAGCTATGTGGGCGTGAGTGTTGTGCTCTACTTTGTCACTCGCTTTCCACCCTACGAGTGGCGCATTGTGCGCCGCCCTGCGGCAGATCAGGCGTTGACAGCATCCAGTCAACAGCCGCCAGGCTTCATTGGCGGCGTCACCCACAACGAACAAATATCCTCGGGTGCCACCAGTGCTCAGGTCAATGCACAGCAGTTGCCATCTACTGTGGTGCCTCCAAATGACTTCACGCTGCTTAATTCCTTTTGGTATTCGTTGGCCGCCTTTATGCAGCAGGGCAGTGACCTAACGCCACCCTCGATTTCGGGTCGTATTGCCGCAGCCGTCTGGTGGTTCTTTACGCTAATTCTGATCTCATCCTATACGGCCAATCTGGCCGCTTTTCTCACAGTTGAACGCATGGTGGCGCCCATCAAGTCGCCCGAGGATCTGGCCATGCAGACAGATGTCCAATATGGCACATTATTGCATGGTTCCACTTGGGACTTCTTCAGGGTAAGTGAATTAGCATAAGAAGCCTTGATAGCTCTCCCCCTTTCCGTTGGCGAGATCTTTAACGCATGAACTTTATAGCGCTCCCAAATCGGTCTGCACAACAAAATGTGGGAGTATATGAATGCCAATCCCCATCTGTCTGTACATGCCTATGATGAGGGCATCAGACGCGTGCGCACCTCGAAGGGCAAGTATGCGCTCCTCGTCGAGTCGCCCAAGAACGAGTACGTGAATGCGCGAGCGCCCTGCGATACCATGAAAGTGGGCCGAAATATCGACACGAAGGGCTTTGGCGTGGCCACGCCCATTGGCTCGCCACTTAGGTGAGTGTTGGCTGCCCGTGTTTAAGTGCTTAAAGTCAAACTGTCATCCTTCTGGGCTGAAATGTTTTAGAAACCGCCTCAACCTAGCCGTGCTCTCGCTCAAGGAGAACGGGGAGCTGTTGAAGTTGCGCAACAAATGGTGGTACGATAAGACCGAGTGCAATCCCAATCAGGATAGCCAGGAGACAGCAACACCTAACGAGCTGTCTTTGAGCAATGTCGCTGGCATTTATTACATACTTATTGGAGGGCTGCTGCTGGCCGTCATTGTGGCCATCATGGAGTTTTTCTGCCGCAGCAAAGCATCGCGTCTGAAGACGCAAACGAATGCCAATGGTGGCATACTGGCCTCCTCAACATATCAGCGCGACTCTCTGTCGGATGCCATCATGCACTCGCAGGCCAAGTTGGCGATGCAGGCGAGCAGCGAATACGACGAGCGACTGGTCGGCGTGGAGGTTGGTCCCATGGCTAGCTAGAACCTAGCCCTTTTCTAATTTATTTCTCGCTCTCTCCCTTTTTCTGTTTCTCTCTACTTATATACCAATTAGTTGGCCTCCAATGTTCGGTATCAGTACAGCATGTAAACCTCTCCACCCTAGAGGACGGCAGAACTGTTTAGCTCATAAATTGTGTTGTACATAACTAAGTCATCAAACTAAGGAACGCTGGCAATCAAGTTGGCGTCTGCCGCAGTCGAGTGGCGGCGACGGGCAGATGACGGGATCGTTCCACACTGTACATAATTATTTTTGATAAATGTATACAAGACATGTAAAAAAAAAACAAAAACAAAAACCAAAAATAGACAAAGCCATGCATAATAAACTAATACTATGGTTAAGTAAAAATTATTCCAAATAATAAAGCATACATTTTAAGCAACTCAAGTCTGGTGTTCTTTTTCTCTTCCACATGCCCGAAAAAAATAATAAAAGTAGAACTCACGTCTTTTATGGGGAATGCGTGAGTGTGTGTGTGTGAGTGTGTCTGCATGCGTATGAGTGTGCTGACATGCTGCCACATATGAGCGGTATGTGTGGGTGTGCGTGGGCTTGTGTGTGTGTGTGTGTGTGTAGGTAAGCCGCTTAGCTGACTTAAAGTTTTAACAAAGCAGCAGTAGTAGCGTAAACAGGACTAGGAACGACTGATTCGGTTGGTTGCCGGAATGTGATGGGGTGCGGCAAAGGGGGGAAGTGGTGGGGTGTCGGGTGAAGGGGGAATGGGGGAATGGGGAGGGGCTGTAACCCTCGCACAACTTAAGCGGCTTTCAATGTAAACTTTGCGTTTAGTGCGCGAGCAGCGCGCGGTCGACTTTTTGTTTGCAGCTAACCGGCACTTCTCACTGCTCCCAGCAACTATAACAACAATAGCAATTGCAACAACAACAACAACAATGGCAACAACAAATGACAAGTGACTGAATTATGCATGCGCCAAGTTAACACAAACACGTCAATAAAGCTGCACACAGTCGCAGTTGCCGCAATCTATAAAAGTTGAAAGCGGGCTGGGATTTAGGAAAGAATTGTCTCTACTCCGACTCCCACGCCCACGCCCACTCCCACTCCTTCTACCCTAACATATTTATGTTGGAGCTCTATAGAATTTCATTTTAATTTGGCCTTTTGTGTTATAATAAATGGCTCACAAATAACAGTTTTTGTAACGACGACGGCGACTGCGGCGGCAGTGGTTTTTGTTGCCCACAAATGCATTTTTATAATTTCGGTTATGTACATACTTGAATGAATATTTGTGCATTAGTATATGTAGTCACATGTGTGTGTGTGTGTGTGTGTTTGTGCGCGTGTATTTAATTAGTATTGGCAATAAAGTGAAATGGAATTCGAATTTGATTTTACACAAATGCCTAGCAATTATTTTTAACTGCCTTTCAATTTTATTAAATTGCGGCAAATCAGCTTTGAGTGAATTAGCGTGATTTTGTTTTGTGCGCATTCCTCTTTCCCTGTCTTTGTGTGTAATGTAAATACTATACTATACTATATATATATAAATATATATATATATGTGTGTGTGTGTGTGTGTATGTGTGCATCATTTCCTTTGTGCCTCCTCCTTTTGGTATTTCGTTTGCGGCCATTTGATGTGCACATTGTTGTATGGCGTATAAATTTAATTTGGCTTTGTTTAGATAAATGGCAAATTTAAAATGCAATTCGACACCTGGGGGCTTATTTGTTTTGACTTTAAGCCGAACAAAAATAGCACAGAGAACAATTCCCAAAAGCGTTTCCAGCCAGACATCTGGTGTGAGTGGTGTGGAAGAGGACAGCTAACAAAATATCTGATCCTTAATAGCTGAAATTTATTCACCCACACTCCCTTTGTATAGCAGAGTGGAAACTCAAAGATAAATAATACTGACGAAATAAAATCAAAGTTAGCAGGTAGTGGAGTCTGGCATCGGTGGAGTGAGTAGAGTTTAAAAGTTGTTCGTACTAAGCTCGATTTCTGCGACCATTTCTATTGCAGCTATATTATTCCAAAGCTACATAGTCTGAATACCAGATTTGTTTATGTTTTGTAATAAAGGTGTTCTGCGTGTAAATGAGACAAGTCTACATATGCACATGCCAAGATAAATAATGATCGGCCTCAATACGGACAGAAGACATGTCCATATCGATTTATCAATATCGTAACAAAAACTGTTAAATAGAATAAATTTCAAAATGCAAATCTCTACTATAGATGTATAGATTACGTTTGATGTGATTTTATTTTAATTGTTAGCTGACTATTTTGCTTGTATTTGCAACTATAATCCAGGGCTATACTACCACAGGTAGACGTGATAAGCGGGAATTTGCACAGGTGTCGAACTTTATGAACTTTTTAAAGTAATTACCTGGACTCAAAAATAATAAACGAGCCCCTGCTGCAGGCACGCCGATAAGTTTTGTCGCTTTTATTGAACACGGCCAAAAAATGAAAAGACGTAGAAAAAGTAAAAACTACTGGCAATTTGCTAGACTTTACAACAATTCTGACCCATAACCTTTGGCAAGTTGCAGTGTTGGCTTAGCCGTGTCATCTTTGCCGTTTTCAAGCAAAACTTCTACAGCTCTCCACATAGCTTGAAGTAACTGGAAGCGCTTTGCATAAATTTCGGGCGCTCTGTTCTGAAAGTTCGACAGTCACGCGCCAGTTTTATGCGCCGCTGCAGCTCACGGCTAACAACTTGGTTTTGGAGGACGTACGACGTTGTGGGGGTCGGTGCCGTGTGGGGAGCGATGATGCGAAGGGGGAGCGGGGATAGCAGTATGGCTGTTGATTTGTTGAAAAGCCGCAGGATTTGCGCGACAGTAAGCAGCCTGACTTTTTGGCGTAGCACATTTAATGCCGAAATCGATTTTTCAATAAATTCCGACCAAAAAAATAAAGAACGAAAAAGTGAGGAATAGAACTTGAAAAGCCACAGCAAGCGCCCGTTTTCCGGTTGTGTGAGTTCCACACACGTGCACACACATATACTCTCTTACACACACACGCACTCACACACAGTCGTACACACATCCATACTGAACGCACAATTTTAAGTGAAATGCAAAAATACAAAAAACTTTCGCCGTAAATTTTCATATTTATTTATTTTGTCAATCCTCATGCCTTGTCGTAATACGGCGTGTGTGGCAAAAGTTTTCCACGCACGCTGCGCCAACTTGACGACTACGAACTAGGATGATGAGGATGACAAGGATGACGACGAATGGCTCCGAGGCGGAGCGAAATGAATGCGTTGCGCAGATCAGAGCTGGGCGATATGTGAGCTAACTGTGAGCCCTAGCCGGAATACGGACCATTGTGCATACGATTTACCAAAGAGTCAAACATATAGTATAACTATACGAGTATGTGTGTATGTGTGTGTGTAAGTATATATGAGCTATATGCTTTGTTGCAGATAAGCTTGGCTGTCGCACTGGCAGTGCCAGCGTCAAAAAGAATCACAGCGGATTTTTTGGGTAACTCGTGCAAAATGACAGACAGATAAAGTCCCTCGCCTGGATGTCGGGATGTCGGGATGTCGGGGCGTTAAGACGTCGGTCGGAGGCATCGGGGCGTGTGTGCGCCACGCACTCGCAATCAAAAATATTATGTTACATTTACATGGCTTTGCGTTCGCTGCGACGCATCAAAAGTCATAATATTAGCAAATGATGAACGTGCAAGTTTTTGATAAGTTTCGGGGAACATGCTGCTCTCGGGGAATCACAATGAAAATATTATAACAATAATAGTAATATACATATAAAGTTCTTTAAAGTTGCATTATGCTCAACCGCTTGGCGAATCAAATCCCACTGTGCAGGGAGAGCTGAAGCCATAATTTATGGGCTGCAATAAAAATGCTGCGGCAGCATTCAAGTTTTGTTTGCTTGTTGTGGGTCAGAAAACTGCAAAAACCGTTACGTGGCTTGCGATGCATTTGTCATTGAATTATGACACAGCATCGGTCAGAATAAATGTAGCATTTCACAAACATTAGCTAATTCCTAGGCCTTAATGCCACAGAGCGTATGCATGTATTTTAATTTGTTTTATGTACATATCAAACAATATTAATTAATTTGTATTGATTTATTTTTTATGTTGCTTTGATTCGCCATAATTCATTAATTTCACGTTGTGATTTTGACAGTTTCAATTAAATACGAGCCCACACATGCTATACAGACAGTCATACGCTTGGGCAAACACCAGTATACGTGTATGGGAGAATAAAAATTAGCTAACCTTGCAGACCTGACGTGGAAATGTCAAACACGTTCAATGCGGTTTGGCTAGTTTAAAATAAATGAAACTAAAAGGTAAACATATTTAGGTATATTTACAATTATTGCTTATTTTATTTGCTTTTATTTCATAAATTGCCTAAAATTACTTTCAATTGACAAACCAAATATCTTACCACATTTATTTTCGAATATCAAATGTTTATCAACTTGCGAATAAGAATATTTTATTTACATTTTGATTGGAATGGCTGACGAAAATCCAAACCACACTGAGTCGCAAAAAAGGGTTTTGATGTACAAAATATTTATGCTCCGGTTTTAATTCTAGGGGAGGCTAAGTCAGGTCAGATAAATGTTTTCACCAATGTCCATAGAACGAATAAATCTAACGGAGATTTAAAAAAACCTGCGTGCCTTCATTGAACTTAAAAGAAAAACAAGATAGAACGCTACAGTCGAGCAAGCCCGACAGTAAAATAGCCTGTACTCTCCACAAAAAGGAAAAATTAAAAAAAAAAAAATTAAAAAAAATTAAATTATTAAAAAAAATGAATGAATTAATTAATTAAAATAATTAATTAAATTAAATTAGAATACATGTTTATGTTCAGTTTAAACAGCATACATTTACATCACGTACCTATGCGTGTTTATATGCGTGTATGTATGCAGCACAAAGTTGAACCAAAGCAGCAACAACAACAACAGCTGCGGGCAGCGCTGCCGACAGAGCTGCAGGCAGCGCATGAGCAGCGATTTTACTTATGGCTATAACTTTCTTCAGAATTGACCTATCATGATGAAATTTGGCACACGGACACATTAGTACTAACTGGATGTACCTACTAAAATTGATTTTTAAATTCCGAGAATTACGGAAGTTATAAGAAAAAATACAAATTGCGGGGGAGTGGGGGGGTGTATCAGAAAAAATAAACAAACTCGTTCTGCCTAGGGCTTATAGGAACTTTGATACCAATTTTGGTTATCCTAGCTCTTGTACTTACTGAGATCCTTGCGCTCATACAGACAGACGGACAGACGGTCA